AACATGGTCAACATTTGCTGCATGTTGGCCTCCAGTTTAGTTATTGCCGCTTCAACCTTTGTTTGCCATTCCTGAGGGGGTGACGTGTCCATACCGGCCAGATTGTTCGGTAAAGGGTTTTCTGGAGACCCGGAATTCAGCCACACATAGAAGTTAAATATATAAAAAGATACTTCATTAAAAGAGTAAGGGTTTGGCCATGAGCTGGGTCTCTGCAGCTAAGTACTGTTGGAGGGGTCAGTGTAGAGGGAAAATGTGGCAGAGGCAGAGACGGGGGAAACGTTGGTTTGGATTGGAGAGTTCCCAGGATGTTTCTTAGACAGAAAACTCTCCCTCCTCTTCTGTCTGTGAATATGTCTCTTCTTCTGTGACACAGACAAATGTTATTATCCACAAATACTCAGTCCATAGGCAGGGTTCAGAAACAGGCAAAGGTAATCAACAGAGAGGCAGAAGCAGGCATACTTAACAGGAGGAGCAGACTAGGATCAGAAGCCATGGTTCAAAACGGGGTCGGAGTCCAGAGGTCAGAGAAGCAGTCAAACCCTTTAAGGGCTAGGCAGAGACAATCCAGGAACGTGAACGTGGTGCAGGGCTTGGTAGATCAGAACGATGAATTGCTGGAATGCTGAGACAAAAGGCTACAGACAATCTGGCAGAGAAGCAGAGATCACTGAGGGTTTAAATAGAGGAAAGAACAGGTGTGCTCCATGTAATCAGGCAGAACTCAGGTGAACTAGATGATGCTGATTTGTGCAGGAAGGGCAACCAACATGACAGGCAGAATATGAGGAACATGAATCATTATAGATCTTGAATCTTGAATCAAAGTTCAACGCAAAGCATTAACCCACAGGTTTCCTGATCGAGCAGATGCGTGAGAACACATGTAATGACAGGGCAAGCTAGCTGTTAGCACTAGCGGCTTGACCAGTTATATCGATATAAAGTCATTTTGTTTCTTGTTAGAAATTATATCGACATTTAAAAAAATATCAATATATTGCCCAGCCCTAATCTGACTCCTAGTTCTCATACATCTGCTGTTTGTTTTAGGTGTACTGTTAATTCTCTATCCTGTCTGACTCGTAGTTTACGGTCAGGGCATGAGATACACAGGTGTGTGGTCACCATCGTGAGCCACTTCAGGTTTCCATGGTGACCCCAATGACCCAGAGGCAGCTGGTTTAACGTTGTCTTCATTCTAATTTCCTTTAAACTTCTTTTAACAATTTAATTAGGGATTTGGGGTTCACCCATCATTATTTCTTCAGAAATGTTTCAGCTGACTTTTGATTCTAACAAGGTGCAAATATTCATTACAGTGGTTACAAAAAGGAGAAAATGTCCTTGATTAGCCTTCTAATTCTGAGTGAATGTTATACAGAAAACATTCTGCTTTACAGTATTAATTGTATAAGTTTTAACATTCCCCATTAAAATCACCATGATGCCATAATGTCTTGTTGGATGCAACTGTTGCCACTCAGATCTGTGTTGCCTCACAGCTGTAGCTCACACAGTGTGAGGAAAATGTTTTATCGATCACCTGTTGAAATGCTTTCATGCAGCTTCCCCGTGGATTATTTCCTTTTGTGTATTTACAATCGATTCTTGTATCCCTGCTCCCCTCGCAGCCCTCACTGGCTGCCTGGCTGTAACCAGCTGCAGCGACGGTTACTATGACACTGCTGGGGTCTCTGCTGTAGCTCGGCCAATTGGAGTGCAGCTCAGCCATCAGCTGACCTGTAGCTATTTTGATCTGGAACTGTATGTGAAGTGAAGCAAGCAGCTAAATTAGAGACACAACTTAATGACATCAGAGAAGAACTGAAAAGGGGTTGATCATTATTCACTCTAAGAGGTTCTCCTGATGTGTTTCATGGGAAACGACCTTTCAGACTACTACTACTGTCTTTTTTCTCCTCATTCACCAAGTATTGACTTTTTTATCACCCTTGGTTACTTTTTCCTGGTTGTGTGTGATTTTAATCAAATAAATGAACGACTCAAGAGGGCAGAAACCCAGATCTGGCCCTCTTTCTTCCTCCTCATTGGTTATTTCTGCATCACTGACATGAACTGATTCTGATGTTGTTTCAGGTTATATTCATTTCCTTCTCTAAAAGTGTCCCGGTGGGTTTCCTATCATCCTTTTCTCGGTCTGAGCTCCCTACTGGGATGCACCTGTGGTCTTTACAGGGTGACTCAGAGCCTCTTAGTGGAGGCTGCGGTTATCGTCCTCATTACATGCTGCGTGACACTCACAGCGCCGTTCCTCCTACTTAAGTCAGAAGCTGGCGCGCCGCTTTGACTGTTTGAGTAAATGAAACAGGAAGTGGGGATAGATTGTGGATGCCCGAGGATGCGATGAGTAGACCGCGGTCACCTCGGTAACAGGGAGTGTCTCTACATTCATTTTGCCGTTGCCAAGTCACAGCGAGCCTCGGTGCAACAGGTGCCAGAGCCAGAATCAACATCAGTGTTGTTTCATTTCAAATCAAGCACAGACACATGAGTAAAACACGGGTACAGACAAAGATGCTTCATCCATGACAGCTTTTCATCTGATTTCTTATGAGCTCTGGACTTGAGTCCTGAATATTATTTGTGTTAAAATAATTTCCCCATTAATAGGTTTTTGATTGTGACGACTTGGACAGTGAATGTTCAGCTACGAAACAATATTCTAAAGGACAATTACGGGTATTTAGACTCTATTCTACTGTATTAGGGAGAAGGGACACCTGTGATGCTGCTGTGGTCATTTTTATTTATATAGCACTTTCAACACCGCATTACAACTGACCTCAGTGCTAAACATTAGCAAAGAGATAGATAAAAGTAAGAAAACAGACACAGGTTAAAACAGTTAGATAAAATACCACCAATGACATATGGTATTCAAAATAGGCACAAGGGCATAAAGTAAGTAAATGAAAAAGGCATTCTACTAGAAAAAAGGAAGGAATAAAATAAAAGAGGGTGTTCCAAAACACAGTTATGGATTAAAAGCCTGAGAAAAATAATGTGTTTAAAAATGCCAAGGGAGGACGTCCTATCTAACCTAGAGGGGAAGTGGTTTCCAGAGCTTCGGGGCATACGAGGGTTGATATTGGTGATGGAGCTCAGCCAGACATGTCTGGGCAAGGCCCTTTAGAGATTTAAAAACAAAAAGGATCATCTTAAAATAGATCCTAAAAGGAATAGGCAAGCAATAAATAAAGTGTAAGAAAAGGTGATAGGGTAATATGTTCCTGTCTATTGGTTCTAGTCCAGAACTAGTCGAGAATCATGCCGCCATGTTCTAAACAAGCTGAAGGCGTGAGAGAGATGCTTTACTGATCCTGTAAATACATGAGTTTGGGTAATCCAGCTGGCATTTAATAAAGGCATTGACGACTGATTCAAGCTGGCGTGCACAGACTTAAGTTTAGAAATCTATCAAAGCTGGAAAAAGCAGGATTTCACTGCAGAGTTTACCTGAGATGTGACTTGAGGTAAGTAAGTAAATTTTATTTTTATAGCACTTATCACAGACATAGAATCACAAAGTGCTTCACATAGATCAAAACAAAATAAAACATAAAGTCATAAAATCACTGAGGAGAGGGAGAATATCACTCAGTTTGATATCCACAAACACTTAGCGATCTGAAGAGTAAGATGAAGAATGACTAGTCGCTGTCACGTGATAATGACCGACAAGATGCAGTCCTCGGAAAAGACAGCAGGTGATGAGCCCCTGCGCATCAGGAGGCAACGCGCTGTGCCAGAGCGTTGGTACTGACACCCACCGTAAAACAGACATTTAACCAAATTGTGACCTTTTCCCTCTTGCAATTTAACCTTCCCCTCACCCCCATCCTAACCTTAACCAGCTTGCGCATTCACTGATGCGGCCGGCGAGCAGCGCGCACTCCGCTGCTTTTGCGGTCGGTAGATCTTTTAGAACTGCAGTTCAAAGGTAACTCATGAGGTGAATATATATTAACCCAGGTAGCAGTTTTTCTTTAGGATGGAGAGGAGATGCAGGAAGATAATAAACAGGAAAGAAAAATAGTCAAATAAAAACAAGTTAGTTTTTGTACCTGGTGGTTGCAACAAACAGACACCATTGAAGGTAATCAGAAGTGAGGAACAGAAAATGAAATAATTATTTTAATGTTTAGAGCAGCAGGAACTCTGAGGGCAGGGGCGGCGTTAGGCCCGGCTACTTGGGCTGAAGCCCCGGATCTTTCATGGAAAGCCCCGGATCTAAATCGCGGAAGTAACATGCAGTACCAAAGTCCACCAGAGAGGGAGCAGCTGGCATTAGTTTGTACACAGCCTGCCTGAGCCTCCACCACTGAAGAAGAAGCCCTTCAGCAGCCGGCTTCTTCTACACTCTCTGCCTGAAACGCATGAGTGAAGATGGACATAAGGATGTTTTTTTTAGACAAAAAGTACCGCGACAGAACCCCAGCTTTGATGAGACTGGTGTTGACTCAGGTTTGTGAGTCTTATTTGAAAATATTTGTTGTGCTGCTGGTTTGCCTAAAGTTAGCTCATCAGGTAAAGTTGTTGGGGAAAGAAAGGGAATATTTACTATCATCTCACACTAAACACTAACAGGAACAATACTCTGACCTGAAAATGCTTAATATGTAGCTTCAGATTAAAAATTATGTGGTACAAGACATATATATATGATGTTGACTAGTGCGTGTCACGTGTGTGCACGTGCGTGTGTTAAGCCCCGGATCTTCTTCAGTCCTAAATCCGCCCCTGTCTGAGAGGCTGCAGGCGCATCAGTGAGTTTGCGGCCACCGGGCAGGGGGAGGGGGCTGAAGCAGGGGGAGGGGGGAAGAGGGCTGAAGCGGAGCAGTATAAATGCAGAAACTACCGTTGTTAAAAGAGATGTGTTTAACTTTGAAAATGTGGGCGCAATTTTAATTGTCAAAAACTCCAGCGAACCCCCCCCCCCCCCCCCCCCGGTGCTGATTCAGGTGTATGACGTCATCAATGACTAGTCAAAGTCGACTCGATTTTCATTACTTGACTGTCGACTTTAAAAGATTTACGTCATGCAGCCCCTAGTACTTTCTAAATATATCGCCCAAAGGCAGGATATAAATAAATGGAAGACAGTAACGGCCCGAAGATGGAACCTTGAGGGACTCCCCAAGGAAGGGGAACTGATGGAGATGAACAGTCGTTCAGCATAACACCAAGAATCCTGTGGTGAAAGCAGGACTGGATCAAGTTTAGGGCTGATCCTGTAATTCCGGTCTTTTGCTCTAATCAGGATGTGATGATCAGCTGTATCGAAAGGTGGCAGATAAGTAGAGAAATACAACTCTGTAGCCAGCAGAGTGTCATTACAACCCTTCCGGTCTCCAATGCATATGTGAAAGCCAGGTTCAGAGAAACAGTTTTTACTTGTTCTTTTTGAAATTTGAGAGGTCATATGATTGTGAGTATTACATGCAAACTGAACATGAAAATAGACTTCTACCCACAAGTCTTGATTGTCTGCTGATTGAAACACTAGGATTTGAAACGCCTGACAGATCTACATCACACTGTAAATTTGCATACATGGAGTCATCCATCTCTGCTTGTGGCGAGGAAGGTGGGCGGGATGCATGTGATTTAGCATTCAGGAGCCAGAAGAGCACGACTCGGCTAACAAAAGCTAACCATTAGCATTAGCAACTCCACCACACATCAAAGCTCCTTCAGGCTTGTGTTATTTGTGGAGATAAAACATCAGCTCTGCAAAGCAAACAGAGTCAGTGGTAGAGTCATGTTGCTAAGACTCCAAATCGTGCCGCTGCTGCTCATCTCTGTTCCAGCTAACTTTTACTTCCTAAAATAGGAGCACTAGAGCATTTTACCATAGTGAACGACTCACAAGGCATTCATTTATACCAGAGACCACTGCAGATTACTAAAAAAAAAAAAGTGCACGAAGGCATTAATGTGTGCATCAAATAAACACAATGTTGAGATTGAAACCGGTATTAAATGTGTCAACCTAAAAGGAAAGTTTTAGCATTTTATAAATATTATCCCAAACATTATCAGAAATCACAGCAGACTACCTGACGTCGTGTCAAATTCAATTTTACTCCATTTTTTTCTTCTAAATCTCGACTGCTTTTGTCACGACAGGGTTTAGTGTGCACATTTGTGCACGTATCATTTACAGTCATATTTTGACGTAGAGTTTCTTTTCTGTGTTTGTGTTGCTGCGAGATCGTTTCTAGTGATGCAAATCATTTACTTCAGAAAATAACAGCAATTCTAAAGCTTTAATGCATTAACCCCTTCAGATGGCGGCAATGGGCCAGAACCTTTTCAGAAACAAATCTTCATCATTTCGTTTCATGCTCGGCTATGATTCATAGAGGATGTGGGTGCACTTTTTAAATTTTGAAAACAGATTGTAATATTTTCATGTTCCTGTTACTGATGCGTCAGATCTGACACAAATGCCGGAGTGTTTGTTATCCTTGTGCCTGCGTGCGATGTCTGACTGCACACGGAGTGGGGAACTTTCAGTCAGCATTGCATATGGTTGATGCCATCTTTGTGCATTCTCACAACTATTTAACAGCCTACACCGAGTGACTCACTTCTTCGGCCTGGCACATTCAGCTGTCCGCATTCTTGTCAGTGCCTCCTACAGAGCGCCGTGCTGGCAGCCCATCAACTAAAAGTAAAACAGAAAAATAACTAGAACAGGAGAAAAAGTGGGATTATTATATAAATTGAGCACTTGAACGCTGGGCTGACTGGTGCCGCAGGCTCGCAGGACGTGCAGCTTTTTTATTGTGGCATGGGTGTCTGAATCAGGGTCAGCAGGAGAGAGTCGAGTTACTGTGCATGAGTGGGGAATGTACTGGAAACTTTAGCCACTTCATGAGAATTTTATATCCTCGCTGATATAATAAACAGTTCTCCGTTCGTGTCCGTACTTGACACGCCCACACATCAACTCCATTGTGCTTTTGCATGAGGATTTAAAAGCTCATTTACGCTGCCGCTGCAGCAAATGTCAGTTACTTGTTATGCATCATTTCCACCTCAGGTTACATGGAGTTAGCTTGCATGCAACAGAAAGGGCCCCTTTATGTTTTCTGTAGGTTACCTTTCCAGAGGTAGAACTGTACGCTCAGGTCCAGGATTCATGTTTGAAGCACAGGAGGGAGGATTAAGGACCAAAGATGAACAAACGGGTGATTTGGTGGAACCTGAATGCATGCTTGTGAGTTATTTTAGTCAGACTGCTCAAGTTTTTTTTTTGTTTGCAGAGACTTTGCTCTTTTGAATTCACTAATCTTTTTGAATTAAATGCACATTTCAGGGCTCTGCAGACTCGTACACGAGCCGGCCGTCGGACTCAGACGTGTCCCTGGAGGAGGATCCTGAGGCTCTGAGGAAGGAGGCCGACAGACAGGCTCTCGCCACCCTCGAGAAGGCAAAGGTCAGACATAAACAACCAGCACTGTGCATAAGTTTTAAACCATTCACAGTGTCCTTTGTAGTCGTTTGAACTCACATTAATAAGCTTATTCTGTTTTCTTTGGGTGCTTTTTCATGAAACATGAATAAATGCTCTAATTGATCTGAAATGTGTTTCTGGGCACACCAGATTCAGCACACTAATATCTGCTTCCGCCATCATGCCTTCAGACCAAACCAGTGGCATTTGCTGTGCGCACAAACGTGGGTTACAACCCGGGGCCCAGTGATGATGTTCCTGTGCAGGGCATGGCCATCTCCTTTGAAGCCAAAGACTTTCTGCACATTAAAGAGGTTTGAACATCTCCCATGTTTCCACCCGAGCACAGAGTTGTGTTTGTATCAGAGAGCCATATCTGTGACTGTCAGAGCAGCCTGGATGGCGTTTAGAGGAGGATGTCAGGAGCTTCAGCTTGCAACGATGGTGGGTGGAAGGCCAATGAGGTTTTTAGGTTTTGCCGCATTTTTCCTGCACAGCCGTCTTCATCTGAACCATATCCGGCCCTGAGTGGGCGTCGGAGCAACAAACGCTGCAGTGCAGTCTGAAAACGTTGATCCAAGTTTTTGGGAAAAGAGGACATAGCAGTAGGTAAATGAAGGCCTAACCACAAATCTTCTGCAGGTCTTCTAGAGAGTGTACCTACCTCATGCTGCTCTGCTTCTTCTGGCTTCCATGGCTTTGCAAGAACCTTTTGGGGTTAGCGCCTGCACATCATTGCCAGACAAGACTGCTGTGTTTTTTTAAACAACAAATATATCAGAAAAAAGACGCTCAGCCCTGCTTCGTTAAACATGTATGTTTAACAAAGTCATTCATCATGAAGATTAAATTCTTCTTATTTCCCTATCTTGTTGTTTTAAACAGAGGTTATGTTTACGAGTGCAGACAGCAGCTTCTCTCCCAAACGTTAAAGCTGCAGTTTAGGAAACTATATTCAACCCATATATTCAGTGAATTTATAAATAACTAAATTCTGAGCTTCATTAAAAACTGCAGCACAACCGTCGCTGATGTGCTGGTGTTAACAATAGAAAGAGAAAAGGTAGCTAAGCGTAGTTATTAACAGGAATGTTTGATGATTTGGTCATAAATAAAGAAGTATGGTGATTTTGTTGATACTGATACATCTTTATCTTTAATATATATAATAAAAAAAATTTGAAGGTTTACAAGTAAACACACAACTTAAACAGTTCAAAAATGGGTACAGGCAGAAGCATCACCCCAACCCCCCAAACCAATTGAAACGTAAACAATGTTTTAGAATAGCATACCAATACCATCATTTATACGCCATTATTGAAATTTATGAGGATAAATACATTCGTTTACCTCTATAAATTAAATGTTACTTATTTGGTTTTGGTCAAACATCATATAATTGTATAGATTTTAATTGGCTATGAAAGTGATCTGTAGTCACATCATTTCTTGATTTCTACCTAAACATTGATTTCAATCCAGTTATTGAAAAAAAGAGTTTCTTGATATTATGAAACATAAAATCTTTGTAAAAACCCGTTCCTGGAGGGATAGACGTGTCAGCCAACATCGCTTGGTTCACATCTGGAAAACCATAGATGTACGTTTGCACTTCCAACAAGTTAGCATTTATGTTGTTGCTATGGTTACGTAGCACCTCCACACAAAGCAGCCAGATGTGAGTGCTGATCAGTACTATTGTGTCCTGGTTTAAGTGAAGACTGAGACTGATGTGTAACAATGGAAATGGTAAAACACATGTTGGTGTTTTGGCCGTTTGCTGAGTGCAGAAGTACAACAACGACTGGTGGATCGGGCGTCTGGTGAAGGAGGGATGTGAGGTGGGCTTCATCCCCAGCCCGGTCAAATTGGAGAACACCCGTCAGATGCAGGAGCAGAGAATGAGACAGAACCGGCTTAGCTCCAGGTGAGGATCTGGATCTGTAGTATCAACAGCACAAGCAGGTCACGTATGAATCACTATGACTCCACCAGGCATCGATACACAACCTCAAATAGACAGAATCAAATCTGTGAGTCACATCATTCCTCTGAGCAGCTTCAGAACCCTGCTGTCCTTTATCCGAAACTCTGTTTGTTGGTTTGGATTATTTTTTATATATATTTTTTTAAATTAAAGAATTTCACTCAACATGACGTGTTACTTTTAGCATCATTAGTTCCTGATTTTGTCGTTAACAGTAAATCTGGAGGAAGTTCTAGTCTGGACGTTGCCACGGGAACCCGCAGGCCTACTCCACCTGGAACAGGTGAGGTCTCAGAGCATCCATTGAGCTTCTGAGTGTGCAGACATTAAGAGAGAGGAGTTGGATGTCGGATGTTTAATCGAATGTATCTCAGTGGGTTTCTGTGTGAAGGGAAGGAAGTCTTAGGAGGTCTGCCGTTAGCGCTCAGAACGGGACTAAAATAGAGATGAGAATGGACCGTGCTCATTAAAGTTGCTAAGTATGTCTGGCTTGTGTGAGTGTGCATCACTGGAATGACAAAGAGCCACACACCGGAAATAAAAATAAGAATCATAAACAACTGGGGCAAAAATACAATAATAAAGCTACTGAACCAGGAGTCTGCAACCTTTGTGGCTGAACGATGTCATTTTCACCATAAATCCTACAAAACAGCATTTAATACAGAGCCACAGAGTCAACTTGAGCTGAGATCACAGTTATCTATTCATATGAACTACAGTTTATATTGTGTTGTGACATTTTTGTTCTTTTTATTCATGCAGAAAAGAAACAAAAATACACATGTACACAAGAAAGACACTTTCTTGTGTCAAACTCATTGTTTTAGTTCTTCACATATTTGTATAAAATGATTCAAACAACTCAGATAACAAAGCAATAAAGTTACGATCGCGAGAACTGTCAGGAGAAGTTTTTTAGTGTTGGTTTGTGGAGTCAAACTGTGGAATTGTCTGAGGATGGAACCAAAGCTTTGTCTAAACATGAGCCAACCCTTGGACACATTGGGGTGAGGTTTAATTGGATTTTTCTTCTCCTCACTCTATTTCAAGCGTTTATGACTAAGAACTTTTCTTACTGTGTCAACTGTTTTAAGTCAAATTTACACTTATTTGTATAGATACTGTGTTTTATTAGCCTGGCAAGCGATCCTATATATGTAATAAATAGTCCGGCCATGACCCATTGATGACTTTCAGTCGTGGGGCAGGATCTATAGTTGTCTTTTAAACTGTCTCTGCATGCTGTTACTGTACACAACGAACAACAAGACATGCTCACCGGATTTTGGTCAAGGGAGCAGTTCGCCACACACTGTTACACAAGATGCAAATACGTAGATTTTTAAAATAAACCGAAGTACCTCTATCTGCTCTTGATTCAAAGAAAAGCCCAAATCTGAATAGTCCAAAGATGGTGCCGAAGCCGTTTCAGACCAGCGATCACTATCTTTGTTTTGCTCTGCTGTACTAACATCCCAGCCACCTGACCGATAGAGCGCTGTGATTGGCCACCCATCAGACTGGCCGGGCCCAGGGGAGGTTCCAGTGCAGCGTGGCTAGACCAACACGCAGAGCAAAGTCATTTAGATTTAGCAACTGATGGTCTAGATTTTTAGGCTAATGTTTTATTCTGTTGCATTTGTTTTGTTGCATTTGTTTTGTAAAAGGCACACTACTGGCTCGACATAAATAAATAATAATACGTGATAAAATTAAAATGAAAATAGACCACACATTGCAGGCTTTAACCCTTTAGCCACCACACAAACAAAGAAGCGCTGAAATATTTTTCTCTTTATTATAAAAGTAATGACAGTTATTAAAAAGTCTAACAGAGGACCTTAAACCAAGTAAAAACACCAATAATTATAAAAGGCAATTCAAAATACACATTTGAAATAAATGTGAACACGAACAACTGCTGTTTAATCCAAGACAGTCAGTTCTGTAAAACAAAACAACGTTATTGTCCGTTTCACATGTTCCTCTGCTGAACACCTAATATTGATTTTAAATTATACAAACAGGAAAAAAAATTATATATATATATATATATATATATATATATATATATATATATATATATATATATATATAATAAAAACCTCAAAAGAAAGATTGTTAGTGCATTGTTGCAGATCCCAATGCTGAAAAGGCTTGAGTATAATAGTGTGTCTTCAAGTTTGACTTAAAAACCTGCAATGATGGTGCCTGTCTAATATTCATTGGTAGTTTATTCCAGAGCATAGGTGCCAAAACAGCAAATGCACGATCTTCTCGTGATCCACACCTAGCACAAGGAACCACCAACATGTCACGCTCAGCTGAGCGACGTGTGTGTGAAGGCACGTATCTTTGTATTAATGCTGACAGGTGAACGGGTGCAGTTCCATGTACAGTCCTGTGAGCAAGAGTAAGAATTTTAAACTTAACTCTAAACTTTACAGGTGTCGGTACAGGATCGGCTCGGCGTCCTTCGACTACCGATGACGTCAAAGTAGTCGATTGGCTGAACATGAAGCTTACGGAAGTGACGTTATCACGTTATGATTTAGATTGGTCAGAACAAATTTGCGGTCGTAGTCTTAGCAGTTGTAGTCCTGCAGTCTAAAAATCAACACTTTTTGGAGAAAATATGTTTGAATTTCTAAACGAAATGTAAAATATAAGCAAATGATAAACGGTGACCCTCAAAAGCTCTTGATGTTGATGAAATGGGGCAAAATAAAATATAAGAACTTTATTGAAAGACACCAAGCAATATTTTGAACCAAAGAATGTATTTAGATAACAACTAAGGAAATATACAGACGAACTCCACATTAATACAAACAGATATGGCTTCACATATAAGTACTGTTCTATTTTTTGTCAGTCTGATGTTGGTTTTATGCAGTTTCACATTGTTTACAAAACAAAGATAATATGGTGTTTTATTAACAAATTACAATTATAAAGAAAACATTCAGGTGTTAACAAACAAGAATTTATTAACAAAACTGCTGATGTCTTTCCAAAACGTGTGTGTGAAAGCCGAGTAGATTTGAAGTGATGTGACGTCATCAGCGGGCGCTGGACCTCGAGCCGATCCTGTACCGACACCGGCAACCAGTGAAGTGCCGCCAACACTGGCGTGATGTGTTCCCTGCCTCTTGTGCCCATAAGAAACCTGGCCGTTGAGTTCTGATCCAGCTGAAGATGTGATGCTGCGTTCTGTCTCAGACTGGCATACAAAGCATTACTGTAATCAATCCTAGACGGGACAAAAGCATGAAGGTGGTCACGGCTCAGCACAGACTTCCTCCGAGCTAAGCGCCGCAGAACAGTTACGCACCACCATGTTGATTTGTGCATCAAATTTAACACCTGGGTTGGTTACAATTGATCTTTCATAGCTTGCTACTTGTCGCTTAATAATTTCCAAAAGATGTTCAAAATACCAACATTTGCTACAGCTGACTGACTGATATGCATGCGTGGGTTTTCTCCGGGTACTCCAGTTTCCCCCCAGAGATCACAACATGCCCTATAGGTAAAAAAAAAATGTAAGTCACTTTGGGTGAAAGCGTTTGCTAAGCACATAAACATAAACATAAACATATGTTAGGAAACGTTAATCTGCTGTGGCTCTGACTGTCAGAAGGTTACATACACACGTAAACAAGTGAAGCTATGTAAATGTATTTGAGTAAAACCTTAAGCTGTGTTATGTCACTAATGCAGGTTGTAAAATGATGCCAAACTGAATCTACAGTATATCTATAATAATCGTGACAACTACACATTTTACATGAAAAATGTTTTGGTCAAGGCTACAAGGAGCCAGTTCAGAGGTGTGGACGTGCCACAGGTTGCAGACCCTGTGTAAAGTTGTTTAACACTGCTGGTTGGTCTTAAGATGCTGATATTCACCTGCCCCAGGTGAATTACTGCAGTTTTACTAGGGGTCAAAGGTCATTTTCTAGGATTGTTTTAATGATCAGTTAAATGAAATCCATCATCACCCAGCTTGATTTAGTTCTTTCTGACCCGTTGTGTTCTGCGGCTCCTCCTCTTTTCTGTCACAACTACACTTTAAGTTCAGTTTCGTTCACACTCGGTTCTACTTCACCTCCGACGCTGTCACACCTGCCATGTGTTCTTCCTCATGATGATCTGTTTTCCTTTTTAAACACCTGTGTTTTTTCTGGTAGTCATTTCTTGCCTCCTTGTTCCAGCTTTCCTGTTTTTACTTTATCTTTCTTTCAATTGACCTCTTCCTGCTGTCTCTTCTGTTCTGTGTCTCTACACCAAATGTCCACCGTCCCATCACCAGCTCACGTGGACATGTCCACAGGGTCTTTTGACGCTGACCCACTTGACCTGGATGCTGAGGAGCCCCCTGAGTCCCAGGGTGACCCTCGCTCCCCCAAGAGCATGTCAGGCAGCGTAATATCCCCCCAGGCCAACGCCCACCGACTGCCCTTCTTTAAGAAGGTAACGCCAGGGGCCTGGAACACCCAGTTTACCTCACCAGCCTCGCTCCTCCTCCACCCTGAACATGACCTCTCACCTGTGGTCAGGTGTAATGTTCCCTTCCTTTCCTCACTAACTGCTCACAACCTAACCCCCCTGCACCTACATTAGCTCCTGAACCTAACCCTTTTGGCCCTGGAGGGCTCCTTTTCATGGTAAGATGTTTGTGTGTGAGCTGAAACAGCTGGCAGTAGCGTCGCACTAACTGAGTTTGACTGAAATGGCTGAAACCTCAGCTCTTCTCACGTGTTTCCACTAATCCAAACCCGTCAATAACTAAACACGCTTTTGTGTTTCTGCTCTTTTTGTCTCGTTTGGCTTTTGTGTGGAATGGAACTGTAGGTGGTCCAGCTAAACAGAAACAAAAGTCGGTGAGTGTTTGTTCTACTAACCTCATGTTCTGTACCCTCCATTGTCTCATGTCATCCTGGTTGTTGAAGCTTGTGCGCTCAGCATTTTATGCCTCCAAATTCAAACTCAAGCAAACATTTCCAATGCACACACCCACCTGTTTCACAGCTGTTTGTGCACAGATTCAGGTGCAGATTTGTCCCAGACCCTGTTTGCAGCTGTAACGCATCAGGACACGCTTTCATTTTCATTTATAACGCCCAGTTTCAGCCTGCGATCTCTGCTTTAGGCTTCTCAGCACGACTCATGCTCATTAAATGCTATCATGAGGTTATTTTAGGAGCAAGAGTTATGGACAACATTTACATCGCTGCAATTCATCGTCCTCTGTTCAAGTGCTTTTGTGTAAATTTAGTCATGGAAGCTTTTAATCGGGTAGAAAAATCACTGAGCAGAATGAGTCAGTTGCAATTTTATAGTTTAAAAAAACAGGAAAGCCTCGAGTAGAAGATTAAATACGTACCGTGTGTTTTCATTATTTCACCACCTCTTGTTATTAGAAAAGATAAAAGGAAAGAAGCACACCGATCAGCTAGAATGCTGTTACCGCTGACATGTAAAAGGAGTAGAAATCAATAAGGGGTCATAATGTTATGCTTTAATCATAGACTTTAATAACACGTCCACCTTGTTTTGTTTTTTCAAAATATTTCCTTTAAAAGTGCAGAAGTAGAGTCGAACTCATCTTCACACAATACTGGTGCTTTTTCAGCATCAGGTAACAAATTCCAGCTAGAAATATTGGGGGGGGGGGGGGGGGGGTCATTTAAACATGCACTGGCATGGTAAGAACTATGTGAAAACTCATCTGAGGTGTATTTTGTTTTATTTTTTTAGTCAGTAAAATATCCTAACAGTTTACATAAAAGCAGATAGAAAATGTGTTCTGCAGCCAGCCACTAGGGGGCCTCTTGGTTTAGCTTATCTTCAGCTTCCACGTGACTCTGCTGCTTCTAATTGTTTGTGTTGACGATTTTGACCAATATAAAGCACCATGGACGTCACTAGGATTGAGATATAGGGGGGGCTTAGCCCCAGGAGCTTGACCTCAAACGTTTTTTGTCACACCCTGCAAAAACTTTGTCAATTAATTCATTATCTGAAGAACATTTAACAAAACCTATTATTTTATCACTTTCTTTTCCTTTCCTACTTTTGTGCATTTTCTCTCTTCTTTTTATAAATAATAACACTTAATCAGTTCATTAGTGGGGTCTATGTTGAAGAAAGATTTTATGTAAGTCCATTAAAAATTAGATATGTTATATTTCCAAATAAAGCTATTCATTTCAGTCTACTGCACTTAACAGGGGGAAATGTTGTAGTCATTTATTTGTTTAATTACAACTTGTTTAATTATAAATGTTACTGAAATGTGACAATAAAGAACAAATGAATAATTGTAAAACTTTTTTTCTGCCAAATGAGTGTGCAGTTGACAGTTTTAATATATGAATAACACTGCTATGATATGGAATAAAGGAGTGTGTAATTAACTATTACAAGACAAAATAACAGTATATATAAAAATATCCAGCAAGTAGTAGAACTTATAATACAGAAAGTCAACTATACAGATACAACTTGACATAAGGTTGCAGGCCAGATGATAATTATAGTTTTTTTTTTCAATGTCTCTTACCTGTTCACTCCTAAATAGAAAACTGTTCAATTTTGCTTGGGAACTTTGTGCTCAGGTAAATGCTCATAACGGTGCGCTCGCCCCTGTTTTCTCTGTAGATCACTGACCTTGACCATGCAGATCTCCTCAGCATCAACCACCTGGTCTCTCTCCTGTTCCTCACTCACTCTCTTAAAAAATCTTCGTATATCCATCTAGCCAACACATTGAAAAACATTTTCAATTTCTAATGCCAAGACAAATGCTACTATGCCATTTAGTTTTCACTCACAATAATTGAAACAGCCATTGGTGGATAGATGGGACAGAATATGGACAACTGTTAGCCTAATATAGCCTATGCTTGGTTGCTCATGATGATGGCATTTTCCATAACATCACATCGAGCTGCCAAAATTTATGTTAAAGTTAGATGAGTACAATATCTCCTTTCTTTACCATAGGTAAACATAGGAAATATTAAGCAACTAACAACCCACATGGAAAGAATTCATATAAACATATAGGTTTTAATATATGTTTTGATATAGCTTTTGAATATATGTGACATATATACAACTGGCTGTTTATTATAGATACATATATGTACCTATAATATAATATATATATATATATTATAGAAAAAATATATAATATAGAAAAACGGTCAATAATATACATTCGGCCAGATTCTGATTCAGGTTTTTAGTGTGGAGTGATTTTTGTGCCACCAACTGGAGTGTGCAGTGATAAATCTGCAAGAGCACAATGTCGTATGCAGCCCTCTCTCTGCATGCTCAACTCCGTCTCTGCCTGCACAAATCTCCCTGTTGTTGCTCAGTTTGCAATTTACAAAGCAATGTAGCCTCTCCGTCAGCCAATCAGAGAGCTCTCCATTATGCAATCAAAGCATGTCCAGGAAATACTGGCAGGAAAATTGCACTTTTTTCAGATAAAGAGGACTTTATATAATTATATTTAATTAGGTTGATTAACCCTCCTCTTTTCCTGGGACATTTCCACTGTTCACTTCCTTTTACACATCAAGGGATCATTTATGTCTAACTAAACAGAGAAGAAACACTTTATATGTTGAAATTGAAAGTCATTTTTAACTGAAAAGAGTGCAATTTAACAGTTTTAGGAATAGGCAATGTGTCTTTTCTGGAAGTCAAATATGGTCACCCTAATCATGACACATGAATTACAACAAATTATTTTGCAGGCAGTGGATGGTGACTGGTAGCTAACCAGCAGCAGAAAGCAGTTCAATAAGCTGTTAAATGGGTGTTTTTCTGTAAAGCAGTGTTTCCTGGACATGCTTTGATTGGATAAAACAGAGCTGTCTGTGATTGACTGGTGGAGAGGCTACTTGTTGAGGAGAGCAGGGAGAGATTTGCATGTGCAGAATTGATCCCATAGAGAGGGTTGCAGCTGCTGCACACAAGCGCAGAGCAGGTTCTGTTTGTGCAGACTCATTACTTTACTCTCAAGTTGGTGGCACTAAGTCACTCAATGAAATGGCTGGCTGGTTAATCATGTCACTTCAGGGGAGTTTTCCGACCATTTTACTTGACATCAAAGCTTTTCATTATGGTTTGCGGCATGTAAACATGCTAGCGGAGTTAGCATTAGCATGTCGGTGCGGTAGCATTTTCCACTCTCGTCTGAACTATAACCTTGAAATGTTAACGGTATGCTGCTGTTGCTATCTTACCCTAATGTGATGTTGAGTGACTTACATGAGCGCTGAGCAGGGTTTGCTCATCGATATATAGGTTTTTCTGTATCGACCCGCCCCCTGACTTGTCAACAAAGCTGCGGGCTTAAGGAAGTGGAGGAAGTTCTTTCTTGATACTTCCTGTGTGTGACGGTGTAGTTCTATATTCATTAATTATTATTTCTGTTTCAGACTAAAAAACTCATGTACCAACTACACGTGTCGTGATTGTGTTCAGCATGTAGATGTGAACAAATAAAAAAAAGTTAACTGAAAAAAATAAAATAAACCAAAATGTTAGGGGGGCTTGTGATTATTTTAGGGGGGCTGAAGCCCCCCTAAAACGGACCTAACGACGTCAGCGTAAAGCACCTACATTTCACTTCATTGAAAGAATCAAAAGAAATTCAGTAAACGATCATTAATCATTTTTCTTCACATTAATGTGTCCATGTTATGTTCCGTAGTTTCCTCCCTTTAATTGTATTTTTGGCTGCTTGAATACAAATGAGGTGAAACCAGCTCAGCTGTATGTGATATGATGTTGAAAAACAATTTCTAAAGCTGACGAGATGTTCATCGTACAGAAGTCATTCCTGCGTGAACGATGAGTTTAAAGTTGTTTTGGAGCTGTTTAGATAGTCTTTGTGTGTGGGTATTCTGTTTAAGCCTCTGTTTAGGTTCTGTTAAATTATTTGTTATTTTAAAAAAACTCTTTGTTTAGTTTTTTATTGTTAAGCAAAAATAAAAAAACTCCTGAAGATATTTGATATTTTCTGAGTGAACATTGAAAATGTGTTTTTAGGGCTTCAGACACCAGTTATTTTTATTAGGATTAAGTTTCTTTATTATCTTTAGCGTAGTCAGATTTTCTTTTGACATTTAAAAGGTGATCTAGGTGTTTCTTCAGGCTCCCTGAAGTTTTTTTCAGCTATATTTTTAGCTGTTTTCTCAGCAAGTTTCACTCAGGGAAAAAAAAACATTTTCAGTCATTAATCATTCTCCCACATTGTATTTTAGCCAAGTCACTTAACTCTGATTTCTGATCATTCTGACATAAAAACGCTCCTAAGCTTAAGGGATAGGCCAGTGTTGACAAATTACACACAAGTTAGCAACAAAACCAAGCACATCCTTTAACTGAGTGATTATATACTGTACCGAGCAGCGAATCTCTCACACAATAAAAATTAAATAAAAGAGTATAAAAGACATACAATTTAGACTCAGACACCAGACCCAGAGGTAAAATTTTTAAGGGCCTGTGAGAAGCTAAACTTGTGTAGACCAACCAACCGAGTGACTCACCAAAAGTGAAGTGAAGGGTTCCAGTCCTGTCTGAGTACTTATGTCGATAATGAGGGAAGAACACAAATGAAAGTCTGGCTAAGGTGTTGCCTCAATTAAGAAAATAATTATAGGAGAACCAGAACAGTCCAACAAGAAGATGGATAGCTGGAATGTTTAAAAATTCTGGCAGAGCTGGTTTATGTACCGGGTACAAGACTGCTCCCACCAGAAGTATAGGATCTCTAAGGTACAAATAATGAGAGGATCAACAAATTCACACAGCTGAGGATACAAGGACAGGATACCAATCCAATGGCAAGCCTTTGTACCCCTAAAGGTACTTGGGTGGGTGCAGGTCCAGTGTAAGGTCTTTGATGAATTTGTTCCTGTTTCTTAAAGACACGCCTCGCTTTCTATGAGCCCTTCTCAGCCTGAAATAGCTCTGTACAGCGTGGTTTGAGTCCGCTCACCTGAGGGTAGTTTTGTTTCCATGCCAGCTCCATGACAGAAAGTGAGTGTACCCCTCAAGGGCGTGGGGGGAGGAGCACTCGCTTATTGTCAGACTGAACCAGGAAATGGCTGAAGGCATTGAAGCAGAAAACACCAAAGCAACCAGTGGCTCCGCCCCTTAGCCAATCAGCAACCAGAGACACAATGCCTACCCGACTGCCTTGCCAGGTATCTCAATGGAGCAGGGACTAAAAATTGGGGGGGAAAGTATTGGGAAAATACCGAACCGTGCCTGTGGAAACTGTGATCAGGCTGAGCTGCACCGTTCCGAGTTACTCTGAGTAGTGCTTCCTTATATAGAGTAGAGTAGAGTAGAGTAGAGTAGAGTAGAGTAGAGTAGAGTAGAGTAGAGTAGAGTAGAGCAGAGGTTTATTTAAACAGGGACAGTGTCCAGTTTAACATTAAACACAAAGGAAAGATGTATTGTACCAGGTTATAGCAAAGATGCTAATTCCCACCTGGTCAGGTTGATGTTTCAATCATAAAACTAAAAGGAGTGTTAACGTGTCATTTATAAAACATTATCATTTACGTACATTTAATTCAAATCAAAAACATGACGCCCAACAGATTCACACACACACTCATCACAGAATAATTAACTGAGTGTATGCTCTTGTTTTTGTAAGAAGCATTTTTTTTAGTTCTACATGTAAATGAGTTAAAAGTCGTACACTTTAGAATCTCTGATGGCAGTGTATTCCATTAATCCATCGCAACCATTGAGGAAGCTGGTCTGCCACACGGCCAAAAGCCGTTCTACGTTTGGAAGGCTGCATTTCCCTCTAATGGTGGATCAGGATGAACGGTAGTGATGCCTCTTGGGTTCCTTGTTTTACATTACTGTTTTCTACTTTTCCAATAGACCGTCAATGTCAACGATTGGAAAAGCAGCAAATGTCCACGACAAAATCTTTTAAAGAGCTTCGTAACGTCTGGAGAACCTCTGGTCGAGGCCATTTAAAATGATTGTAAAAATTATGACGGCTTGTTAAAAAAAATATTCCAAAAAGAAACTTTTCCTTAAATCTTTAGCACAGTGCTACTGAATATATAAATATAGCTATAATTCCGTTTGTACATCTTATCGACAACTCCCATCCAACAGCAGGGAAAGAGGGAAGTGTGAAACATGACGTTTGTGTTGAGAGCAGAAGCACGGTCACGAGAGCTCTCCTGACACACCGGCGTCTGCTTTAATTATGAGCACTTTAATTATGCCAGACTGCAGACTCAGAATAGAGGCCAATGCTCCCAGTTAAAAATCACAGTCTTCTTCTGAGCACTGACACACACACACACACACACACACACACACACACACACACACACACGATAAAACAAATGAACTCAGAAACCCTTAGAGGGATTTATGCATGAGTGTACCTTCGTGAAGCCGTGCCGAGCGCTAACATGGTTACATCTTTCCTGGCTCAGATGGAGCATGTCCCCCCCTATGACGTGGTCCCCTCCATGAGACCCATCATTCTTGTTGGACCCTCACTGAAAGGCTATGAGGTAAGAATTAAAAATGAACAGTATGTGCTAATCGTAGGCTAATGTCTCTTTTTTTTAATGGAAATAATATGGTTCTGTTATCTTACCAGGTTACAGACATGATGCAGAAAGCACTATTTGATTTTCTGAAACACAAGTTTGAGGGCAGGTAGGACCTCAGCATCATTAAATGATCTGTGATTAATTGGCTCTGGTCTTTATTACTTATGTATCTGGGTTGCAGGATATCCATCACACGTGTGACGGCGGACATCTCTCTGGCCAAACGTTCAGTCCTCAATAACCCCAGCAAACACACCATCATTGAGCGCTCCAGTACCCGCTCAAGCCTGGGTGAGACGGTTACTATGGTTACCAGAACAAGCTATTCAAACGAGACTAGACAGAAGTTAGGGCCTTGTTTTGTTTAGGTTTTTTTTTCTATAGGAGTTACAATTTCTGTTCATTGTGTTTTGTTGCTGAACATCTTTCACTATCTGTGTTTCATCTTTATTGCTTTAAAGGCTTTCTGTTCATTTAGATGGATAGACTCAGCTTCAGTTTTAGTTTTGGGGAATTTTCTCTAGAAATTCTCAGATTTACCCCAGAAATAAAAGCAACATGTCTTTAAATTGGGTTTTAGGGCAGCATCAAACTGTTTTATAGCCTTTGGGCATCATAGAGTCTCAACATCAGACCACTAAAGCCACGCTCACACTGCTGGTCTTAAAGCTGGATGTTTTGCTGAAATCCAGTTCTCTGAGTGGTTGTTTACATTTGAAGAGAAATGCAGCAGCCCTCTGACTCCGGTTTGACCCAGTTTGCAGCATGCTGTGTTTACAGAAGTAAACAGTAACAGCTGGATCCCTGTGGCCAGGGAACACCTTGTGGTCTTCCAGGTGGAACTGTGGACAATGTCTCTGGAGAGTATCTGTGACTTTAAATATGTGGAGTAAAATATTCCAGCTAAACACATCAATTTTAACTGGAACGATTGGATGTTTATGATGAAAGGGAGTAAACAGGTGTAAAACAAAAAGGCCCTGGCTCCAACTGCTCTGATTAAAGTGTTCGCAGGACACCTGCAGCAGAGAGGAGAGGCAGTTTAAAAGGACAGAATTTCCTCCTCTTTTGACCAACTGAAGGACTTCCTGAACATATTTATACGATACAAATTAGGGATGCAACGATACCACTTTTTTCCAAACCGGTACGATACCGATACTTGGGTCTGAGTACTCGTCGATACCAATTACCAATACCGATACTTCTACCACACAAAAAAATGCACTGATTTGGAATACAGATTTTATTTTCTTCTCTGCTTTCAACAGGAAAAGACTGTGAGGTAGATGAAAAGTAAAATATATGAATGGAAATCATCACAAAACTAAAATATGTATTAGGCGAACAGAAATGACAAGTTACAGTGAAGCCATTTTCAAGCAACTGCATTGGTATCGGTTAACTTTTACCGATACCGATACTGGTATTTGTATCGGTGCCGATACCGATAACCAGTATCGTATCGGTGCATCCCTAATACAAACAGACACCGGATGTACTTCCACCATCTATGTACCTGATCAAAAAGCTTTTATACCAGCTCTGAATGAGTCTGATCTGGCACCCTCTCTTTTTTTTCATCCTGTCTTTCCTGCCCTTTACCCATCCTCCCCCTGCTCTCCCACCACCCATCCTCCTCCTCTTCCTCTGTCTTTTGATTCAGACGTACTGGGTACGTATGCTCTCCTTGCAATAGAACAATGAAACCTCTCTCCCTGCTTCTTTCTTTTTCTTCTAACTGTATTCATCATCTGCTCATACATCGCTCGTCTGCCTGTCTGCTTGCCTGTCAGTTTCTCTGTTCCTCATATATTTCTGTGACAGCCCGAGGTCGGTAACAAGAAGAGAAGGAGTGAAGCAAGCCCAAGCAGGAAGAGAGGGCAGGAGAGTGGCTGGAAGCCGCTCTGAAAGCGTTACCCATAACGAACCGCCGTAAAGCTGTTGAGGAAGGATTTGCCTCCTTACAGATTTCTTTCGGTTTTGCTTTTTTTGTCGTTTAAGCGTTTTTCTGATGAATTTAAAAAAGTGTAATACTAGACAAAGATAACCTGAGTAAAAACAAATGATACTTTTTTAATGGTTTATTATTAAGGTTTATTAAATGGTCATTTAGTAAAGGGAACAACACTATCCAAGCAAGCTTAGCCTGTGCGGAAAAAGTATTTGGTACCCCCACCCCTCACCATGGTAAATCAACGTGGTAATTAACAGAGGTGGAAAGAGTACTAAAATTTCCTACTTAAGTATGAGTACCAATACTTTGATAAATTTGTACTCAAGTACAAGTAAAAGTACTTGCCTAAATTTTTACTCAAGTAAAAGGAAAAAAGTATCATAAATAAAATGTACTCAAAGTAAAAGTTACTTAGTTACATTTTTGTCAGCGTAAGAATGGCTACATCTAAGTAGTGCAAAATCACAACGCCAGATCACAATTTGCTCGTACACACACACACACACACACACACACACACACTAGGGGTCGACTTCACTTCTCTGTAGTGACTTTTTATGCCTGTCATCGACTAGTCGCTGTCACGTGATAATGACTCCTCGGAAAAGACAGCAGGTGACAAGCTCCTGTGCGTCGGGAGGCAACGCGCTGTGCCAAAGCGTCGGTACTGACACCCGCCGTAAAACGGACATTTAACCAAATTGTGACGTTTACCCTCTTGCAATTTAACCTTCCCCTCACCCCCATCCTAACCTTAACCAGCTTGCGCATGCAAAGCTCTGATTGTTGGCGCGCTCCAGACATCTGCGTCCTGAGCACGGCCACAGTAACATTATCGAATCAGGTGTCGCCACCTCAAAAACTAATTTAACACGCGATTGTTCATGTCGGCTCATTTCCTTTTATGTTTTCTGTCTTTTATTCATTTATTTGTGCCTGATGCTTTTCGCTGCTGTGGATCGGGGCGCATCACCTGTTTATTACTTATCAGTAATCTATTATCTGCCTCACTGATGCGACCGGCGAGAACTCCGCTGTTTTTGCGGTCGGTAGATCTTTTAGAACTGCAGTTCAAAGGTAACGCATAAGGTGAATATATATGAAGGCAGGTAGCAGTTTTTCTTTAGGATTGAGAGGAGATGCAGGACGATAATAAACAGACAGGACAGAAAAATTGTCAAATAAAAACAAGTTAGTTTTTGTACCTGCTGGTTGCAACAAACAGACACCATTGAAGGTAATCAGAAGTGAGGAACAAAGCAGCAGGAACTCTGAGAGGCTGCAGGCGCATCAGTGAGTTTGCGGCCACTGTGCGGGGGGAGGGGGCTGAAGCAGAAACTACCGTTGTTAAAAGAAATGTGTTTAACTTTGAAAATGTGGGCGCAATTTTAATTGTCAAAAACTCCAGCGAACCTACCGACCCCCCCCCCCCCCACACACACACACACACACACACACACACACACCCGCTTCAGGTGTATGACGTCATCAACAATTAGTCAAAGTCGACTCGATTTTCATTACTTGACTGTCGACTTTAAAAAAATTAAGTCATGCAGCCCCTAACACACACACACACACACAGCAGTATTTTAGAGTCATTTGAATGACTAGTTAAACTACACTGAACTGCTTTTGTAATTATTGAATCTCTTATTCTGGAGTAAAACAAAGAAACAAGCTAAATCATCACATATCTATGGCATCAAGGAGCATCTTCTGAGTTCAAACACAGGGATGGAGCACAATGTTTATACCTGAACAGTATCAGGTTGTTTTAACTCACAGAGGCCTGCAGGTCTTCTGTTTTATGAGCAAAGTGCTGATATCTGCTTGTTATGAGCGCTAAACGTTATTTTGCCGCTGCCGTGCGGAGCGGTAGGGAAACACATTTCAAATGTCTTTACACGTCTTTACAGTAAGTATACAAAAAAATTTAATATGTAATGGGAAACAGGCTTCAACGTAAGTGGTTGTTTTCCGCTTGGTCCTAGTGCTCAACCAGTGTCTATATAAAATTACGTAATGTTGTTTTTGGACGGTAAACCCCCCCACCCCAAAACTATGTCTATGACTACCAGACATGCGTAGGTAACAAATCACTTCAGCAGAGGCTGTGTGACAACATGAAGCTGGTTAAACGACCTCTAAAAGCAACACATTGTGCCTCATTCTAAATTGAGAACAACCCAGAAAGACATCTGGGCTCTGCAGGCCTTAGTTAGTTCAGGTTAAGCTCACGCTTCAACATTAAGAAAGAGACAACTTCAACACAAGAGGGCAAGATCCAGGAACAAAACTGCTGACTTAACAGAACACAAAGACCCATCTGACATTTACTAAAAATATTTGAATGATCCCCAAAACCTTTGAGAAAATATTCTAAATCATTTTGCTTTAGCTAGTCTGTCTGGAGTTCTGGGCTAGAAGAAATGTGTAAGGGGACACTGTATTTTGTGTTCTGACTCCTCTACCTTCAAATATTCCCCAGAGATCTAACTCATAAAGTCCTAAATAATAAGTTAATCTCAGAGTTTTTTGGTTAGGTTCACATAAACTTCACCTGCCGTTTCTTTGAAAGAGTTGAAGTTGATGTTTCTTATCAGCATGCAGAAGCCCCGCTTGGCTTCGGGTTTTAGTTCATTACTTCTCAGCCCTCTGGAGGCTGCAGAAATGTGTGCAAGCAGCATCGCTCTGCAGATTGCTTTCCTTCCTCTATCTCCCACCACTGTTGGATTGGCAGCACACACACACACACGTTGAGCTTTAACCAGGCAGGCGAGGTGCCTTCTGGTTTCCAGTTTAAGTCCCTCCCCTTCAACAGGCTGAAAAAAATGTCAAAAGGCTGACTGCTTAGGCTGATGTCGAGGAACGATGAAAACAAAACACCACAACCATCCATAGAGTTGAATGGCTCACACGGTAGAATAATTCCTGTTACTAGTGCTAACAGAAACTGATGCGCCATATATATTTTTGTTTTTATAGTCTCTGTTTTAATGGTTTTACTGTAAGCTAGCAAAAGCATCACAGGCAACTCATTACTAAGTGCTGTCTTTCATCAGTTTTATTTACACAATCTAAAAGAACACCTGAACCGTCTGAAGGTGGCCGCTGAATGAGGATGCTGCAGTGTTCCATTTAGCTTTGCATAAATGGAACTTAATCTGTGGTCCAATCGGATTTGTGTGCTCGGAAATGTTTATGTGCATTTTTGTGTTTCTAAAACATTGAACATGCATGAGTGACTACTAACATGTTGGTTGCTGTGCACAAGGTGGAGGATTTTCGGCTTCTTGAGGAGTGGAGTAGAGCTCTCATACTTTTCTGTTTTGTTGTATTTATGTGTTCTGTCTGCTTCCTGGGCCTTCAGCCGAGGTGCAGAGTGAGATCGAGCGTATCTTTGAGCTGGCCCGCACCCTCCAGCTCGTTGCTTTGGATGCAGACACCATCAACCACCCATCTCAGCTGGCTAAGACCTCCCTTGCTCCCATTATTGTCTATATCAAAATAGCCTCACCCAAGGTAAGAATACAGATAATAGATTACTGATAGATTACTGATAAGTAATAAACATTATTATATTTAAAGCTCTTTTTCTGAGCTTTTTTTTACACCCAAGAATTGAATCATTTTTCTGTCTTTATTTTTTTCCTGAATTAAATGATTTCAGATAATTAAAGAAAACAAAAAATGCCATGTGCTTTAGACGGTAAATGAGTGTGCAAGTAAACCCTGTATCATTTATGGCTTTTCTAGTACAAGCCCAAACCTAAAAAAAATCATTAAGAAAATTAGTTAAACTTTTATAAATTTAAAGTAGGGGTGGGATTGAATTAAAAATGTATATAATTAATTAGAAGCTTTGTAACGAATTAATCTTGATTAATCACAATTTAATGGTTCAAAACAGTTTGTGCCCAAGCAATTTGTTTATATTAAATAAAAAAGTTAGTGAGGCACAGATGACACACCCACACTTTGAACAGTATATTTCTGAAACCTCGAGGTCTATTTGATTACTCATTATAAAGGTAACCATTGTGGGATTTGTTGGGATGTGTACATATTAGTAAATGTACTATTGATAAAGTATATGGACGTAGAACATTGTAAATTGTAATTGTTGGATACTGAACTGAACACTAGGTAGCAGCAGAGCACCGCTAATATATATAAAGGTGTAGTGTAGAGTTCAGGGGAAGTTCTGCTGACATTTCCAAGATTAATGCTGTGTGTATGCTTGTCCTTCCTGCTGTTCTTCCTTCTGTAATAGTTCATAAAAGTTTGTATGGATAAAGTTACTGCCTGCCTGCTTTCAGCCAACTACAAAACATAAACCAGTTGATTTTCTTTTCTTCCTTTTCTGTTTATAAAGTGTGATTTGTCATAATTAATTTAATTGTAGTTTTAGTTGTGTCTGGAGCCCATAAAAAAGGTTTTATGGTCCTGTAGCCCAGGTTCTGTAGTTTTGTTAGAGATGCAGCATGATGATATGTATTGATATATTGGGTGTACATTTTATGCTAGACTTTTCCTCCCATTTGGGCTCAATGCGGTGAATTTTTAATGCTTATTTTTTCTAATTAATTAATTGTAATTAATGTAATAAATTTCAACCGCTAATTTAAAGATATATTTTTTGAAAATTATACAAGGACGGTGTTTATCCCCGTTCTTTAACAGAGTCTAACGTACTCGAGCATTCATGTTCATCACTTCTCTTGTTTTCAAAGGAAATGTACTATGCTTGTCATGTCAAATACTCCAGTTTTATTCCCTTTACTTAGAAGCTAAACACATTCTTGGTTCACATGAATATAAATCTAAATATTTAAATTACAAATGCAAGAATAATAATAAATAATATCAGTAATAAAGAACAGGAAAAGAAAATCTGAAAACCAAATGAATTTCAAAAAGTCCTAAATCTTGCACAATTTGATGCATTTTAGCTTTTATTCTTTTTACTGTTAGTAATTCATTTTTTTGATTGTGCAGGTTCTCCAAAGGCTCATAAAGTCCAGAGGGAAATCCCAGGCCAAACATTTAAACGTGCAGATGGTTGCAGCAGACAAGCTGGCTCAGTGCCCACCTGTGGGTTCTGCTTTAGAACAAAAAGTTATTCGCTTAAATTCATACATTTGGCTTCAAATGAACTAGTGTGGTTGCTTTGTGTGATGTAGGAACTGTTTGACATCATCCTGGATGAGAACCAGCTGGAAGATGCATGTGAACATCTGGCTGATTACCTGGAAGCCTACTGGAAGGCAACACACCCACCCAGCAGCAACCCTCCCAACCCCCTGCTGAACCGCACCATGGCCACGGCGGCCCTGGCCGCCTCCCCTGAGCCTGTCTCCAACCTGCAGGTACAGGTGCTCACCTCTCTGCGCAGAAACATGGATCTGTGGCCTGACATGGACGGTGCTGTAGCCAGAGAGGGAAGAGAGGAAGAACACGCTCTCTGAAGTCCATCTGCCCACTCCGGCGACTTGACCCAAACTCAGCAGCTCTTTAGACATCAAGGAAGAGCGCAGTAACTTCCTGTTTATGCTGTAAATGTTTTTATTTAAGAAAAGCACAGGACCGATAAGTATTTAAAAACACATTTTACTTAACAATCAAATGTGCTAAAAAGAAGCTAATTCTCACACACGAACAGCTAGTTTAGAAAACGAGTTTCCCTTTTTTAAAACTGTGAACTGAACTCGAAGCACTGGACGCTGCCCCCGAGGCCCCGTCCATTTCACCGCAGTCACGAGTAAAAAAAATATTTGCTGCCCTCCTCTCGTTATCTCAGTGGCCTCGTTTCTTTAGCGCTTTTTCTTCTTTGAGAGGAGAATCCAGTTTGCTATCCTCCTCCGCGTTGCCATGGTACCGCCCCCTGAAAACAGCAAGTCATATCTGCCTCTTCAGATAGAAGGGCTTAGATTGGTGGATGCCTTTTCTAACACTCTAACCAGTCAAATTAGATGAGTAACAGCCTTAGACTAATCAGGTTTGTTGCTCCCTCCTAATCACTGCCGGTAACTCATTAACAATAATGAGCTTTAGACGGTTAAATAGATTTATGACAATGAGAGCATGGCTCTCAAGCAATGATGATGTTGCACCAAATGGATGTCTACCATTTTTATACTGTCAGAGAGGCAAAGTCATTAAAAAATGAAGGATTAAACTCTGTTTTACTTTAAATTAGTCCGTCCCCCCCCCCCCCCCCCCCCCCCAAATTCATGTCATCAGATTAAGATGATGGGCTCCAGAGATGGGCAAATGTCATTTGGATAGTTTTTTATTAGCTTTGTCAGCCAGCAGATGGCAGTGTTGTAACGGTAGATATTCTGTGATTGAATGAAAGTTTGGGTTTGCTTTTGCTTTTATGGTTTTAGGATAATCCGTTCAAAGAAATAATATTATGGTTTTTGCACATGCCTGTGTATGGAGTATTGTGTGTATGCACTGTATAAACTCTGAGTGGTCGAGTAGCAAATTTAACATGTGTTTGTTTGCATCTGCTGATTAACTACTCACAGTTTGGTCTGCTGTTTGCTTCCCTGCATGGTTTTTCTTTGGCATGGGTGTGACTGGCTGCAGGGTTCATACCTGGTGCACGGTGAGCAGAAGCGCGAAGGGGTTCCGGCAGAGAGCGGTGGGAGCAGCACTCTCCACGACTACCACACAGAGCTGGGAGGAAAGCCACACCAGCAGCAAATGTACCTGCGCTCGTCTCGTGGTCAGCTGAGAGGGGGGAGTGGGAGAGGCCTGTCGCGGCAAGACACCTTCGACTCTGAGACCCAGGGCAGCCGGGACTCGGCCTACACCGAGGCCGGCGACTCCTGCATGGACATTGAGACTGACCCTTACGAAGAGCCTGAACCGTACCGGGGGAGTGGGGGCAGCCGCCTCCACCTGGCGCAGCATCACGGGCGACAAGCCTCCTGGGAGGACGAAGGTGCCGAGCCAGACCAGGAGAACCTGAACCACCCCTCCACGCCTAGCCAAATGCAGCCGCACGGTCGGGCCAAGCTGAGGGAGCGTTACTGCCAGGACCCCGTGGACACGGGTTCCCACGTGTCCCGCAACAAGAACCAAGATGACTGGGCCAAGGACGTGTACATCCACTGAATGCTGATCTCATCCCAGAGCAGCTGCCGACTGATGACAGCGAGAGAATAGAAAGGGAAGGCTGTTTGGTTCTGGTTTTAGGACACTAAAGACACTGGGTTTGGGGCCACGCCAGTCAGGCTAACTTCAACAGCCAGATGCCATTCTCATCAAGTTCTTCTTGCAAATCAGTTTATTCATGTTTTTGAAGAAATGAATTAAATGTTAATTATGTTAATACTGCATGAATATCATGAATTTCTTTACTGACAGCACAAGGACAGGATATGCTATGGTCATAGATCTACGATTGCCATCTGTTCAACCCAGGCTCCCCTTTGGTTGTGAGGTGTGAAGGCTGACGGGGCTGTTTTCTGTCATGTCCGTCCTCTGCAGTCTTAAACAGGGTCTAATATTACTGTTCCACTGTACCGTGTCAGGGTTTCTCTTTATACTTCACTACTTTAGACTTCCAGGACTCCCACAGGGTTCCCGAAGTCGTGGAGCCTCTTGTCTTTACTCTTTCGTCGCCCAGACATTAAAAGTCTGGTAAAGCAGTTTCCAAATTTAAACAAACTTCATCCTCTCATCTCTCACAAATTAAAAAAATACACTCCAAAGATGTTTACTTCTTCCCTGACTTGGTTGGGATTCTGCAGACATATGAACCTGTCCTCCCATTCCTTCTTCATGGGTACAAGAGGACGCGGTCACTATTCACCTGTGCTGCAGACTCGCAGCAGCACTCGGTTGTGTGAATGATGTGTCCTGCCTTAGTCTCTCCCACCTTAAGACACAATTATTTCCTGGAAAACTTCAATCACAAGTGCCGGAATGTCTCGCCAAGCCATGTCCACCACAGAGTGGGATGTCTTAAACTCTCGTTACACTCGTTTGTTTTCATACCACGTTTTTGTGTCTCTGTGTCTTGGCTACTCTGAAATGTAGCCTGCTGCTGTTTTGCGCAGATCTCTCATGTCCTTTTTCTTTGCACCAGCCTTATTGTCTGTTTTGAAGAGCTAATGGTGATATAGAAGTACATGTATGTGAGGTTAATCACTCCAAACTTCCACTTAAAATTGCTAGCTTGTCCGACAATAAATGCCACTCTCTTTTCACTCCTGATTTCCGACTGAATTAGTGTTGTTGGGTTTTTGTTCCTGTGAACATTTGCATTTTAAAATCTTCAGTTCTTGTTAGGTAGTAGGAGGAATATCGTGTGGGGGAGGGGGTAGGATCAGCTTTGGTCTGTGCTCGGTTATCTAAAACGGAGGACCCACGAATGTCTTTGGTGGGCCAGTTCGGCCCGCCCTGTCTTCAGTTGAATAAGTAAATATTTAATAATGATCAGTAAATAATGTTATTGTTGCGTTATCGCAATTGTTAAAATATGAAATAATATGTATCATTGGTGCCTGATTGTAGCTTCATTTTGCTTTTTCTGCCTTTCATTTTTAATCTGTGGATAAATTCATATTTTAATTAAAATTTTCAAAAGAAAATGTCACAGTTGTTTTTTCTTTTAACTGTCAAACAGAATTTCTGCTGTAGTGACTAGCAGGGAAGATTCTAGACTAACATTAGAGGGTGGGCAGGCTGGGGTGGGGATGGCTGCTCTGTTAGACAGAGACGCCACAAACATACCTTTAAGTATTTAAAATTTAGGGAGCAATTACAACAATATAATAACATCACTTCCATTATGGCCACTTTATTTACAAGCATCTTTGCAGCTGCATTATCGGAGTTGTTAATCTCAGTGATGATGTGAAAATATTTGTCTAAGCGTCTGTTTTTGATTTCAGATAAAGGAATTCACATTCTTTTATTCCACGTCTACAACAAAAAATCTGTACCTGCTTCAGCTCTGCCCTCAGCAGGGGGGCCAAGCTTGCTTTCAGGGTGGCACTGGGCCACCCTGGACCCCCACCCCCAAACCGCCCCTGTGTGACTCTCAGGGTTTGAAATGTTTCTTTAATCTGGTGGAAAGTTTGGAAAATAGTGGCGAAAGCATTAACGTGTATTTATTATTCCGAAATCAACACAAAAATAAAACCAGAAACGTGACCCACACCCTGTGTTCTAAAAGGCCCAGATTAGTTCAACTTCCAGAGAAATATACTTTGTTATGTGGAACATTCCTCTCTATTTCATTTTCTGTTTAGCATTTATGAAACAAATAAACCTCCCCAAACAGTAAACTGTTCACACACACCAGGTGTACGTTATGTGTAGAGGGGAAACATTAAAAGTCAGCATGTGCAGGAAGCGGTTTGTGCTTCTTGCACTGTTGGTTTCAAATTATCTATGACTTGATAATAATTTGCATGAGTGGCAACTTTTCAGTTGTTTTTGTCTGACGCGTTTGTGGGCCTTACTTCAGCACAACCAGTGCAACCAGATGGTATTCAATTTTCAATTCAATTTTATTTATATAGCACCAAATCACGACAAGAGTCGTCTCAAGGCACTTCACATAATAAACATTCCAATTCAGGTCAGTTCATTAAGCCAATCAGAAAAAATGTTTCCTATATAAGGAACCCAGCAAATTGCATCAAGTCACTGGCATATAGCGACAGTGGAGAGGAAAACTCCCTTTTAACAGGAAGAAACCTCCAGAGGATCCTGGCTCAGTATAAGCAGCCGTCCACCACGACTCACTGGGGATCGAGAAGACAGAGCGCACACACACACACACACACATGCACGCGCACGCACGCACACACCAAGCAATGTGTCTATGGTTACATTGTGATTTCTTAGTAAATATTCTATTTGGTGAGAGATGAACTTTATTGTATTTATCCTAGTGAACCTATAGTTAAATGGCTAAACTAGTAGCACATCCAACGTCAAGGAAAGCAAAAAGCCATTATCAGGAGAGGGAGAATGTTTAAGTGGTTAGCAGCAGTGTGCTGGACGATGGCCCCCTCCCCGAGGCCACCACAGCTCAGCAGAACATCATTGTAGCTTCTTCTGGGGAGAAAAACACTTAGAGAAAAAATAAAGTTAACAGCTGAAATTGCAGAAAATAATACAGTTAAAGAGCAGATTGTAGAAGAAAGTAGTAGAGTGTGAAAAGTGGTCAGTGTGTCCTCCAGCAGTATAAGCCTATAGCAGCATAACTACAGAGATAACTCTGGATAACCTAGCCTTTTAGTTGGAGGCATGTTGGAGGCAGGGCAAGGGAGAACCGTCTTTACCGACTGTACACTCCACCTCCCTGTACTCCCCCACTTGTCCAGATCTAGGCTAACATCAGATTTTAACCATAGGCCCTATCAAATAAAAATGTTTTAAGCCTAGTCTTAAAAGTAGACAAGGTGTCTGCCTCACGGATTAAGGCTGGGAGCTAGTTCCGCAGGAGAGGAGCCTGATAACTAAAAGATCTGCCTCCCATCCTAATTTTAGATGTTCACCAAAATACTCAGAATAACAATCATTAGGGAACCCCTGCAAAGATTAAAGCAGATGTAATCAACTTAACAAATTTAATTGTTAAAATGGTTTGAGTTAAATAGCTGTTGTGGCTGCCCTCTGCCACCTAAACTGGATCACTTCTTGGTAACACTTGCACATTTTTAAGAGAGGCCTGTCAAAAGATTGGTCCAAATATGTTGGAGATCTAACAATAGATCTTCTTTCTCCACATGTAATCGCAAACATATGACTGTGTAACAGAAGAAATTCTGTTACAAGTGGCTATTTTTACATTTTTCACACCATGGGGTTAACTTAAATCCTAGCAGCAATGATTGACACGTCACACATGTCTTATTTTAAAAACTGTTTATTGGTTCCTCCTCCGACCGCTGTCCGGTCCAATTCACAGACTGTGTTGGACTTTCTTTATCTTCCTGCACCTCAGCTTGATGGGAACATTAATCTCTTCCTGACAAGGTCTTTATCCTCATTTTCAGCTGTCTCTGTTTGGAAACATACATCATAAGCACTTGTTTCAAATCATGAACCTGACTATAATCTTAGAACAATGAATGTCAACTGGCAGCCTGGGGACCACACCCGGCCCGCCAGACCTTTCCATCGCCCCCCCCCCCCCCCCCCCCCCCCACCCCCATTATTAGAATAGAGATCATGCGTGTTCTACTTTTTCTATGTCAATGAAGCAAACTGAAAAACAACCTTTAACCAGCAACGACCACAAACTCATCTCTCGTTCAGCATTTTTAAAAATTTAATCTGCAGTTCTTAGAATCTCTGTTTTGCACTTTCCACTGTAATAGTGCTTAACTGCGGTGTCTTGACAAAATTTGCTCCTGCAAGCAACACATGTACAGGAAAGCAATATTTACCCGATTGATAGGCAGAGTCAGCTGAAAGAATCACAGTTAAGGAAGGAAACAAACTGAATAAGTAAGATAAAGTTACATAAAATGCTTTCTTGGAGAAAAATAACAAAGGATTAAGCACTTTTTTTGGCAAATGCACTGTTAACCCATTAAGTAGAGCTTACAAACTCTTTTCTAATTGATGGATGGTTATTTGAGTGAGTGCAGTGGACTGCAATCAATACACTTGAACTCTTTTTTAATGAAATAGAAGTTTTGAGTTGAACGTTGCTACAGAGTTGGCATGCTTGAGAGAGCTGAACTGCTTCACAAATAGGAAGCCTAATATGTCACGGTCTTCCCCTAGTGGCTTGGGTTAGTAAAGGAAATGGGAAGGAAATGAACATCAACACTGACAAATGCTAAATAAATGAACAAAATAATTATTCTGGAAGGAAAATTGATATATCAAATATTAATAATTTTAGACTTATAATGATAACCTTTATTTTAGAAAGCATCTTGCTCTCACCGTGTCTGCTGGAAATACTCTGCCTTGAACAAATCTAGATGAAGACAGTCCTAGAACATCCGTTTCTTTAAAGGTGTTTAAAATAGCTGATGTTTTTTCAGAGGAATGCCCCAAGAACGTTTTATGTTATCCTAACTCTGCGTTCAGTCAGGAGCAGTGTGGTATAAGCCTAACTGAAGGAATTCCTCCTGGTTTCTTTTTCCTGCGGCTGTGTTTTGGCTCTTTCACTGTTATATTCTTACAAAAAGAGTTACATCGGTTAGAATGTTAGTTTTAATGCTTTAGCAGCTGGTCTAAGACAAGTCCTTTATTTATTGACTTCTAAAGGCAAAGAGAACAAACGTGTTTAGTCGTCGGTTAGAAGTACAGTGTGTGACCGCTTTCTGAGGTTCTGTTGATTAAGTTTTTTTTAACTATCTGGAAGAGGCTGTAGGTCACATTAAAATGATTTTCTAGGAAAAAAATTAAACTATTGAATAAAGGCTTTAACTAATCGATTAGTCGAGGTCATCGGATCCATATAAACACAATTCAGGGAAATACCAGAACTGTCCAATAAAAATCCAGGGGATTTCTTTAACTGCAAACATTTTCTTTCAGTTCGTGCATGGCAACGGTACAGGGACAATAAACTGTCTCACTTCCCTTTTCCATATTAGGTCACGAGATGTGCGTACCCTGTGACCAGCTCTGACGTCATGTGACAGACAGCCGCCCTGTTCCTGAAGATGCCTTCATGTCGAGCGGAGTAATACTACATGGATCTGTTTGGGCGTTTTTGTTGTTTACTAATTGTGTTTGGAAAAAAAATATTTATTTATTTATTTATTTATTTATTTATTTATTTTTGCACTTTCAATTTAAAAAGAACATGCGGCAGAGATCTGAATAAGGAAAGGGAAAATTAAAACTTAAATTGATCAAACGTCTACATGACACAGAATTCAAATGATAATTAGTAATACGTCTTTGAGGAGAGTTTGAGTAGTTTTGAATTTAATTAATTATTAATATTAATAGCAACTGAAACTTTTAAAAAAAGGGAAACCTACGGGATTTTTTCCCCAATTTGCACAAATTCCCAGTTCACACTTGTGTTGTCCATTATTGTTACATAAAAATGTACCATGGCTACAAAAAAGTTATTCTGCTGTGGCAACCATGAACGTGTAAACCTGGCAAGATATAAGCTTGTTAATGAACTTTAAATAATGTATCAAGAATGGAGTCTAATTGTTTGTAGGTTAGTTGTAAGAGGAAAAAATTACACATATAAAAATGCAAATTGGTTTATTTATAAATCACCTCACACATACATGGTGTTCCTAGCTTAGTCCTGAGGACCACTGTCCTGCGTGCTGTAGACCTTCAGATCCACGGCACGCATTTAACGCAAAGTTAATTTACTATCACAGCATGGTAAGTTTCAGATGACCCAAAACATTATGGTCCGTTCCGTTTAATTAGAAAATAAATAAAACGATCTTCGAGAATTTTGAATACCGGTTTGAATTCTAGCATATCCCACGGTCCGTGAATGCACCACCTCAACGTGAACCACCGAGGAATTTCAGAAGCGCCTCCTCCTGACCGCACAGCCAAGTGGAAACGCAAACTGCTATAAACACCGAAACGGAGCAGGTTTCACACTTAGTTGTTGTCGGAAGCTGTAATTAGTCCTCTTCGGACTTCTGGCTCTTTTTTTTTTTTTTTTTAGTTTGTTGTTGTTTTCTCTTCTTCACCTGTTGAACACCATGGGCTTGCTGTTGGCCAAGATGATGGCTGTGTTCGGAGACGCAGGTAAATCACATTCATCAGCTCCTGTGTATATAATATATATTTTTAGTTATTTGAAAGTTTAAAGATGAACACACTATATAAAACACATGAGTGACGTCAGGTTTAATCTCTTTACTGGAGGATTCTATAGTTCTCCAACATGTACCTGTCCTTATCTTATCTGCGTGCCTCATGACTGAATGTTGGAACTGGAACATTTATGCAACTCGTCACGTTTGTTAAGCAGCAGAGTTTAAATGAATTGTAGATGTTGACGTGTTTGACTTTTCCTGCAGAGCACAAAGTCGTCATTGTGGGTTTGGACAATGCTGGGAAGACTACCATCCTCTATCAGTTGTAAGTTATTGAACTTTTTATTTTCTTTTATTGGGTCCCAGGTTTTTGTTTTTTCTAAGTTCAAATCCCACCAACAGTCTGACCAAAGAGGCCGTCCACACATCGCCCACCATCGGCAGCAACGTGGAGGAGATCACAGTTCGCAACACTCACTTCATGGTTTGGGACATTGGAGGTCAGGAGAGTCTCAGAGCCAGCTGGTACTCCTACTACTGCAATACTGAGGTACAACTCGTCTTCTTTCACTGGGTCAAAAGGGAAAACATGAAGCTACTCCATCCGGAGTAAAATATGAAAATGAAAGCATTACACTGACGGATGCACTGCACACAGTACCCTACCTGGGTTTTTAAAGCGTTAGCTAGTCTGTCACACATGCACATCCGTGTTGTAGCCCGCACTCATGCAGTATATTATGGTCTTTTCAGATTGTCATTCTGGTTGTGGACAGCACTGACCGTGAAAGACTGACTGTAACCAAAGAAGAGCTGCACAGAATGCTCGCACACGAGGTATTTAACACAGTAAAGTTCCTTGTGCATGTTGTTTTTGTTATGGAACAGTAAATGTTCCAAAATGTCAAATACGGCTGAATAAAAGCGTTGAATGCGTTGATAGTTGAGGGCGTGAAGAGGCTCAAAGGAAAGCTCAGTGAGGCGTGTAAGTCTTTGTCATTTCTGACTTGCTTGACGCAGAACTCCTTTGTTGTTCTGCAAGTTCATGTTTTGATATTCGAGACACACTCCCACTTTCAGGGAGTGACTCACTGTGTCACGAATGTAAAACGGGGTAAAATGAACGTGATGAGGACGTCTCGCTTTCGACTTTGTTAGTCAGCGTCCTTAAATGTTCCACTGAGGTTGCCCCCCCGCCACCTCCGCCCCCCAGTGTTACTATTTAGGTATTTCCAGAGAAAATAAATTCCACCTATATAGCTGCTGGCCAAACACATTGATGAAGCATATTATTTTGTTTTGATCGTAGGACCTTAAAAATGCAGCCGTTCTGATTCTGGCTAATAAACAAGACATAAAGGGCTCCATGACAGCGGCTGAGATCTCCCAGTGCCTCACACTCGACTCCCTCACAACTCGCTCCTGGCATGTTCAAGCCTGCTGCGCCCTGACAGGAGAGGGGTGAGTACACACCTGGCATCTTTGTATGCTAATTTCACAGATCTCGTTCGGATGGTAAAACGCCTTCACCCTTAACAGTTAACGTCTATTTCACCTCCTTCTTTCTCTTCCTACAGGCTTCCTGCCAGTCTGGACTGGATGAGGTCTAAAGTCGTGGCAAACTAAAACACCTTCCAGGGATTTTACTTCCTCAACCTGAGCCAACACCTCCACCACAGAGGCGGCATTGTCATTATGATTTATAGTGTTTTTGGCCCAATTGATGACATCTGTGGCAGCGCCCAGCACACCTAGTTTGTGTGGGAGTCTACACTTTTCTCTCAGCCTCAGGGTGAAGAAACCTGGAAATTTTTAGGTTTCAGGATTGTTTTCTTTTGTCCAAGACCTGTTTCCTGACAAAGGTTTCCTCAATGCGTGTGGAGGTGCACAGTGATTGCGTAAAACCTCCTGCCTGACTAGAAATATTACATTCTGGTTTGTTCATAACAGTTCTCATTTTTCACTGGGATTTGTTTTTAAATTTAATTTATTTAGAGCAATAAAACATTAAGGAAAGTCAGATTCAGATAAACAAAATGAGCGGACTGTTAGCACTCAAGCACTTTTTTTTAATGTTTTGAGTTGGAAGTAATTAATTTAAAAAATCTTTCTCAATTAGATAACTTGAACCACTCACAACTCCTCATTTAACGCACCTAAATGTTTTAACTGTCTGGTTCTAAACAAGCATTTTAAAAAAAGTTTATGTTTACATAATAATTAAGAGCCTCATATAGCATCCTCTGTGTTCTCCCGACAGCCGCTGTCGAAAAATAAATCAAAAATCAATGTTTTATGTCATAGATTAACAGCGGTTTTATTCTGAAAATGTTTGATCATTTATTTATGATTTTTCTCTGAACAAAGTTATAGTATTTAGTCCATTACTAGAATTTCCTGACTGGGAAATGAAGCTTGCTGCTAAAGACATTGAGTCTTAAAATGTATATATAAATATATATATATATATATATATATATATATATGTGAAATAAATATTTTTATTGTAAGCCTTTGTGTGCCTGTCTGTATTCTGACTGTCTGTTTAAATAGAAACAGGAAGGACAGATCTGAGATGTGCTGTTGTGATTGATTATGAAACTAAAATACAGACATATTCTAGCTCGTATTTCTACATTTGATATAATACAAGCAGAATCCATTTCTTAATCAAACTGTGAAATAAATAATTAATATTAATGGTCCAGGGGGCATCCGGATTTGAACCGGAGACCTCTTGATCTGCAGTCAAATGCTCTACCACTGAGCTATACCCCCGTGTGAAAAACATCGTCACAACTATGAAATATTTTTTGCTAATACTAGTTTTTTACAATCTTGTTGTATACGAACGTTTAATATAAATTCACAGTCGTGGCATGATATTGACGTCTACGTGGCAAAAATAGCCTTTTAACTTTATAAAATTGTTCCAACGGCATCCGTACCGAGCCCACGGACACCACAGACAACATGTACGTAGACGCGACTGGAGCTTGCGCGGCAGCGAGCCGCCACCTTGGGTGGATTCCCAATCTCCCCCCCCCCCCCACCCCACCCCCACCCCCCCCCCCCCCCCACCCCGTGCATTTATTACTACTGAAGGTGCTTACCCGACTGAAAACACATTATATTATGATATTTAACAAAAACACACATACGTTCTACGGTATAACATGATAATTAAAAAAATATATAACAAAATAATAAAAATTCTAATAGAAAATCCCAACAGGTATGCTAGAAAAGTATTCCCACGTGATCTGTTTTCTGCGCCGGTTGTTGCAACAGTAGGCTGCTCAAAAAACGAGCATAGCTGGTCACTCTGTGTTGGGTTTGCAGAGTGAAGAACCCATCCAATATGACGGCGACGCTGTTACGCCTCCCAGGAGAAGCCATTGGCACGTCTACTTTTTCTTGTCTATGGCTGACTCAATCTCCGTCTGCGCGTGCGCATTCACGCCTGTGTGCCTTTTACCTTCCTAAACATGCATGGAAATGTACCCATAAATTGAATCAGCTAGTCACAAGAAGCAAAAACAGATTTATATTGTACTACAATAGTACAAAACCTGCAATTGGAAACACATTTACAGTTTATTTATTTGCTAAACAGGCTGAAAACACATTCAAACAAATATTATATGAATTGCACTTCCACCTTTAGTTTTCTGCATGATAGAACCATAGACATAGATGCTAGAACTGAGAACTTATTTACCAAATGTATTTTGAATCCCCAGGGCAGCAAAACTATAAAAACATGATTTATTCATGCAGCCATCAGTAACCATCTGCCTTTCATTTCCTGTTATGATATGAAAATGGCAGAGAGGAAATAGATGTATAGGTCAGATGAAGGCTGCTTGACTTTTCGTGATATGAAATCTTTCAGTGCACTGAGATGAAAAAACATGGTGGTTTAATTTTCAGTCAAATCTGAAAAGTCTAAACATTTAACAGAAACTAGGAGGACAAAAGGTAAATTAGGAGTAGTATGGACCCAAAGTCCTTTTGCATATACCAATGATTAAATAAGATAAACAAACCCTTCACTCAGTCACGCGTAGGTTACTGAAGAGCTGGATTGGGGGGGCACCAGCGCCATCTTGGCCATGTCATGCATTTTCTCACTCCTGGAAAATACAAAAATGGAACTGAGGGTGATGCTGCAAGGGTGGGGGCAGATGATTGACACCCACAAAACCCTGAGCTGAGGAAGTTAACAGAGGTTGGTGGGTACTTTAACCAAATAACCAAGGTTGAGCAACTTTGCTACCCTCTGCCTTCTAGGCTGCAACACTTTTAACGTGAGGCCGAGGCAGAGGCTTTCCTTGAAGCAAGCAGGGAGGCAAATCACTTAGTGCTAATGACTCATCTGCTACCTGTCAAGCAAATGGACACTGTAGCTACTCTGGTCTGCTCAACAAATTGGACTTCACGCTCCGTATTGATGTCCACAGACATTTATTTTCGTCAAACACTCAGAAGGTTGTGGTACACCGTGAAAACGTGTGCGCCTGTTTGACCGGTAGTAGACACGCAAGTAAGATTTCACGTTACTTCTTTCATATGTCTTCTTCAAGTCACAACAACTTTCTCTCGAGCACCGGTAGTTTCACAATAAAATTAACACACTAACCTTCAAGTTTAAAAGGAAGTCAACTAATTTAAAATGCTTTTTTTTTATCCAAAGAAGTTATCTATTGTTGGTTAGAAGCTTAGTAGTTGCAGCTTCAGTGGCTAGCGAGTAGTAACTCACATATATATTTAATTTAACAAATAAATACACAATTTTAAAAGTAAAAGCCTTGTTATATATTTATATTGAAACTAATACATATAAAATATAATGTTATCTCCCATGTCACGCAACCCTGTAGAAGCCGCGGTCACGTGATGCAAGTCTGATCCATTTAACCGTTTTCTTGGACCAAGGAAGGACAGTGTCCTCGTAAGCAAGGCGCCTGGCCTCGCAAGACATCGCCTCGCAAAGGCCAGGTGCCTTGACATTGAGAAACACCGCTGGTAATGCTTCCATTCAAATAACCCCACCCCCTGAAAATTCTAACTGAGCTAATCAGCACTGAGCAGCGTACATCACACACTGCGCTGCTCAGTTTCTCATAAAAAACAAAGATGGCGTCTGTAGCGGAGTTTGTTGCGGTGCTCTCCTCTGTTCTAAATTACTTGAACAAGTCTTTAAAACCACAATAAGAATAAGCGCTCAAAGCCTTTCTTCTAAAGAGAGATGTTTGAGACTTCACCAGACGCCATCTTTGACTACAGTTAAAAACTTCAGTGTTGCGCGATACATTCATTCCCACCCCTCATGGTGTTGTCTGCCTCTGAGTATCCACACCCGTCCTCTGTGTGGGGCAAGTCTGGCAGGACAGGCTAGTCGTAAAGCACCTTGAGGAACTTGCTCCTATCTGGATCCAGCCCCTATTAGATGGATGGAGGGGGGGGGGGGGGGGGGGGGGGCTGCTATTTCTTACTTCTGCATTGGCTTCACTTTTGCCAAACACCCTGTAATACCCAAAAACAGAGTGCATGTGTATTTAGCTTTAACCACTGTTATCTGGACACATACGAGGACGTTCTTAGATGTTTTGAAGTACGTTTGAAGAAATCAGAGCATTGCCATAATCATGACGGGGTCTTAAAATAATTTCTCTTTGTACTTCTATTTGTATTCTACTTGTATTGTTTCTTTGTATTCTTTGTATTGTATTATTTATTCTGCGTACAAGGTCAAGATTTCAGGGTCATATTTTCACCATGTCATTCATACGTCTATAAATGTCAGTTACAACCTAAATTAGATTTACCAAGCTAATTATTTATTTAGCTAAATTTCCCTCCCACATAAATAAAAATATAAATATATGTATACTATAAAAACAGTATAAGTCTCCATCACACCCTCTGCGGGTGATCTCGACCACAAATAAATTAGCAAATTATGGTGGAAAATTAGTTGGTCAGTAACTAATGTCCATCTCAATATTTTGTTATATTGGAAATGACAATTATCGCGATATATTGTTAGCAATGACAGAGGTCAAATGTTTTCTGTATGTCTTCACAAGTTTTTCACACACTGTTGCTGGTATTTTGGCCCATTCCTCCATTCAGATCTCTAGATCAGTGATGTTTTGGGGCTGTCGCTGGGCAACATGGACTTTTAACTCCCTCCATAGGTTTTCTGGGGTTGAGACCCGGAGACTGGCTAGGCCACTCCAGGACCTTAAAATGCTTCTTAAGAAGCCACTCCTTCATTACCAGGGTGGTGTGTTTGGGATCAGTGTCATGTTGAAAGACCCAGCCACGTCTCATCTTCAATGCCCTTGCTGATGAAAGGTTGTTTTCACCCAAAACATGACAATACTTGGCCTCAATCATACTTTCCTTTACACAGATCTGTCATCCCGGTGCTTTTTTTTAAAAAACAGCCTCAAAATATAAAGTTTCCACCCCCATGCTTTACAGTAGGCGTGGTGCCCTTTGGATGCAGCTCAACATTCCTTCTCCAAACAGAGCGAGTGGAGGTTTTACCAAAAAGTTCTATTTTGGTTTCATCTGACCACATGACATTCTGCCAATCATCTTCTGGATCATCCAAATGCTCTCTAGCAAATTCAGACAGGGCCTGCACGTGTACTGGCTTAAGAAGGGGGACACGTCTGGAACTGCAGGTTTTGGGAATTTTGTTTCTGGTGTCCTTTGACAGCTCTTTGGTCTGAGTCATAGGGGAGTTTGGAGTGTAACTGTCTGAGGTGGTGGACATGTGTCTTTTATACTGAAAACAAGTTCCAACAGGTGCCATTGATACAGGTAATGAGTGAAGGTCAGAGGAGCCTCTTACAGAAGAAGTGACAGATCTGTGAGAGCCAGAAACATTGCTTGTTTGTAGGAGACCAAATACTTGTTTTCCACCATAATTTACAAATGAATTCTTTAAAAATCAGACAATGTGATTTTCTGGATTTTCTGTTCTCATTTTGCCTCTCATGGTTGAGGTATACCTATGATGGCTTCTCTCCTCTTGGGAGATCTTATATGATTGAGGGTGGACTAAATACTTTTTTTTGCCCCACTCAACATGGAAAAAAACAAAACAAAATAATTGTCAAGTTTGAAAATAAAACATTCATTGTCCGTTGAAAAGGAGTAGGAGGATGCTTGTTAAATATTAAGTTTGCAAGAAACTATATTTAATTTGGCTCCAAACATATTTTTAAACTAAATATTTAGATCCAAGCCAAATATCTAGTTTGCTAATTACAATTTTGTGAGTAAAATAAATAAATATTTAGCCTCAAATAAAAAAAATGTTGCTTGTTAACTAAATATTTAGTTTGGATCTGTGAAATTTCTAAATGCATGAAGGAAATGCTGAAAATAGGACTTTGCTGTAAACAATGTCGCTGTAACTTTACAAACGGCACCCCATAGCCTTTCTGTGAAGCGGGCGTGTCGAATGCAGAAGTCCTTCTGCTGAACACGTGTGCCCAGAGACTTCAGTGACATCTCCTGGTAGACATCAGGCAAATGCAACTGGAATGATTAATTAATATCTAGAGGAATCCTGACTCTGCTGCAGTTTGTCACTTTAAAGTTTATCTGCTTAATGGTTCACACATTGAAAATGTGTCTTGTTAACATATTGATCTAATGGTGTTATGGTACTCCTGCTGCTACTTGACAAGGACACATTTGGGAAACAGATAAACAGGAAATTCCTGACGTGAACGACTGCTCAGCATTTGAGATTGCTTTCCCTTAACTGTAAAACCATAAAACCTGGGTTGTTGACCTGTTTTCTTCCTCCGTCCATTCTAAATCAATTAAGAGAAGAATATTTGCTGCCAGAAGAGCTCTTTCTATTATTTACTTGGAAATGTTGTTATTCTCAGAGTAACCTCAGTGACCCAGACACATCCTCTTGAGCTGGAATATCGAAATTATTTTCTTCTGAATGAAGAGTTAATTCCACATTTCCTCTTGCTTTTGAGCAGAACACAGTTTGTGCTTTACTGTGTTCAAAAACAAATGCTATATACGGGTTAGTATTCAGTAATGTCTGTGTAGAGACCTGTTTCAGTGACGCTTTAATAGTCTGGATTATGGGACGTGGTTCAGACGGCTTTTCCAGCTGTGAATCCAGCTCCCCCACGTTTGCAGATAAAAACACGGAAAGCAGCGGTGAGGGAAGGTGGTGGAGTCGCCCACAGAGCTCGTGAAGTTTGCGTCGTGTCTGTTTTACAAGCCGTCAAACACACTCCTTTTATATCTACTGGAAATTAAACAGAGCCCGGGAGGCTTTCTCTTTAACAAATTATAAAAAAGATGGCGTTAGACAGTAAAAAACAAGGTTGTAATACGTTTCTAATGGGCTGCATGCATGTTTTGTTAGCTGAATAAAATGCTCTATATTTTGTACCCACAGCTGGTTTGGATCTGTTGCATTTTGCTTCAGTTATAGAAATTTGCATCAAAAAATAAATAAATGAAAGAGGATGATAGCTGATTCATATGCCTCTCGTCGCTATGGCAACGTGGAACGCCTCAGGAGGCGAGAGGGGGTGTAGCTAGAGGCAGGGTGAGGGAAGGAAGAGAGTAACGGGTTGGAGTGGGCGAAAATTTGGTTTTGTAAAGAGAAGAAGAGGGAAGCAGGAGTGGAGACAACGCTGTGTGTGTTTTGTTTTTTTTACGTGTGTGTGTGTTTGCAGCTAACATGTGCTCTGGTTGGGTGGTGCTCTTCTTCTGTCTCTCCCACACAGAGCTGGGTAAAGTTTGGGGTCAACAGCAGGCAGGTGAGTCGTGTCAATTTGTTTATCCCCGGAACTTTCCGCTCAGCTCTCGCCGACACTTGACTTTATCAGTGATGCTATATTTCTTAAAACGTCTCTCATCTTTACCCTCCATGCTCTATGATGCGTGCATTCATTTAAAAAGTTTTCCTATAATTCAATACACACATCCTGCGCGCAGGCGTCTGTTCTAACTTTATTTGCTTTAAACAACAGATTCATTTTGTGACTCTACATATAAACAGTCCACGCTTTTTCTGTTTTACACACAAAGGTGAGTGAGCTGGTTTACAATGAGGCACACAATAAAACCACCCTATTCCACAAGCCTGCGACCGAGCCTGAGCAGCAGCCCACAAACAGCCCATCTCAAGTTCTAAATTAGACTTGGACTTGTTTTTGTCCTTGCCTCGCAGCTGGAGTCTGGTGTAGGACTCCAGCAGGTCTCAGGAAGGAGACAAGTCTGAATGTTGAATGTCAGAGTTCACGTTTTGTTTTGTAGGGTTTTGTTGTGATTCGGAACAGAAAGAGTGATCCTGCTTTACAGATTGCAAACATTGTTTTCTGTGCAGATAGAATTCTTTAGAAAAGGGTTTTCACTGAGCCAGAATTTTAAAAAAAGGCATCTGAGCTGAGAAAAGCCTTTTCTGCGTGAGGAAAAGTGTTGCAGATTAAACTGAAACGATACAGGAGGTGAAAGCAACACTAGAGGTCACTGACCCAACATCGTCCTCCTGTCACACTGTCTCCTTATCTGCTTCAGCATCCCAACTCATAAACAGCCCCGTTGTTGAAAAATGACTTCAGTCCTGTGAGAGTCATTGACACCGTCTTAGCCAGACTGTAAAAACAAAACGCCTCACGCTGAAAATGACTTGTGTGCTCTGTGATGACCTCAGATTTTGTTCTGTCCAGTTGAGACGTTTGTTCTGCAAAGTCTGAAAGCGATCCAGACATTTTGGATTTAAGCTAACCAAACAACACAATTAAGTGGCTTTTTAAAGACTAATCCAGTCTGTAAATCCAGCCTTTATTCACTTTGACATGTAATAGTAAAACATGTGTTTAACAGCGGAAACATACTACTTGAAGCTGTGAAGATATCTGAAACAGTGCACAAGAAGCAGACTGAGGCTGAACTTATTTCTCTAATTAGAAAATAAAAAGCAGAAACAGCCTCTTCTCTGTCCTGAAAGTTGGCTGCAGCTAAGAGATAAGTGAAGAAATCAGCTGTTTTCTTAATAAAACCACCAGATTTGTCCTAAAAAGGTGAGGCGTGACTCCATCAGCGGTCATTCTGAAAGGAGGCTCCTCTGAAATCACCGAAAACATGGTGACTGTTGCTGTACTGTGTCAGCACTTTGAAAACTGTCCAAAGTACACACTGGAGGAAGAACAACAGCATAGTCGCCATTTAATGAAAGAAGAAACCTTCAGTTAAATCTGAATTTTAACCAAAGTCAAAGACAGAAATCTTTTTTTTCGTGGACCTGGACTTCAGCTGCACACCCTGAAATGAACTGTAGAGGTTTATTGTGGGTGATGTTTGCGACTCGGTGCCAACGCCTCCAGCCACAGCTCAGGAAGGGCGCGTCTGGTCTGACCACACTGAGTTTACCGCTCACAGAAAAAGGCAGCTAAATGTCGAGCCTTGGTAACCCCTAAAAGCACAGGCAGAGGTCCGTTTTACCTTCAATGCTTGTGCATTAAAAATGATGCGTCTGTCACCTCACTAGTCTTTTCCACACGCTCAACATTCTTTATAACTTTGAAATCGTGTTCTTAGTTCTAGCATCATTTAAATTCTGCACCAGGCGCGTTAACTTTCTGATCCAATGAGCTGAGAACCGCACACTGCCGCTGATGGCCAGTGTGCAAGCTGCTGCTAGCTCCTGCACGCAAAATATATGAAATCTTCAGGATGCTTATTTGTCTACTTGTGGAAGAAAAAAAACAGACAAAATATTCAATCTGGCATTGCAAAGCATCCATTCATTATGTGCAGCGTTTCTTTCTCAGCAGGGTCACGGGGAGCTGGTGTCTACTTCTAGCATTCATCAGGTGAGAGGCAGGGGACACCCTGGACAGGTCTCCAGTCCATCACAGGGACACACACTCACACCGATTTAGACTCACTAATTAACCTAGCATGCATGTTTTGGTCTGTGGGAGGAAGCCGGTGTACCCAGAGCTAACCCATGGCGTCCGCAGGGAGAACATGCCAAATCTCACTGCGAGGCAGCAAAGCTACCAACTGTTCCAGCATGCAGCCCTTTGCAAAATACATAAAAGGTTTTTAATGCCTTACAGGAATCGCCTACACCCTTTCATGCAAGACTGTGGACTATTGGTTTTTTTTTGTGTGTGTGTGTGTCAAAACAGATGGAGTTGTAGCCATTTGGCCATGAAAATAATGTTATGTGCAACATTATAAGATCCCACACTTTTTGACTTAAAGCCTTTTTTCCACCAAAACTGATAGATTGTGGCAGCCATCTGGAATTAGATTACCTCTACAAGTTCATCAGTTGACGTACATCCAGCGATTACTTTCTGTTAGTTTGATGAACTAAAATCTATCCAGCGCTTCTTGAGACTTATTTTTCTAAAACAGAAAAATTAACAAATGTAGTCAAAAACTATCTAGTTTCATGAAAATTGATGAACTAATATTAGATGTGGGGTTTTTTTCATGCGAGGAGAAAATTATTACATTAACAATAGAAGTGCACAAAACCTACTTTAAATAAATCTGCACTTGAGAAACCACAAAGCAATTCTGTGTCTAATCCTGATCAAAGTGGGGCACAATTGTGCATCTTCTAGTCGTTTCCCTGCTCCAACACACCAGCGTCATTGTTAAAATGACCAGTTGTGTGGCCTTGTGCTCTGCTGCAGCAGCCTGTTAATTCCCTATTCATTTAAATCAGGTGTGCAACAAATAAACATCTGAAAAAAATGCATGATCGTGTCCAGCAGCACCATAGTGATGAGCATTTACACCTGAGTGACAAGAATCATGGTTTCAGCAAGAAAGCCAAAGGGAAAGATTTGTAAAAGTCTGTAGTTGTGCACACTGGAGAGGACATTAGTATCATATTTGTCTGCATGCAAAGTAATATTTAAAGCAGGCCTCGCCGTGTCCCACAGTCTGGACTGTGGAGGTTTGGCAGAGGTCAAAGAGGAACTAGCTCGCCTGCCTGTGCTCCACTCCCAGAGATTAAATCTTCTAACCAACATAAACAAACTGGCAAAAAGCTTCAGTGGGTACTGGCACCCCCCCATTTACAGATGCATAAAAATAGATATGTGAAAATGGCTCATCTGGCATTCTAAAGTTCACGATTCACGAACGAATCAATCTTTTGAACGGATTTTCAAAGTGAATGATGAGAGCCGAGTTCCTGCAGAGCCGTTCATCTTAACAAACCTCCTCGGAAGTCGGTCAAACTCGCACAAACCCCACCCCGTGCGCCCTCACGGACACCCCGCAGGAGGACGTTGATTCTGGCGTCCCACCCCCCCCCCCCCCCCCCCCGCGTTTTATTGCGTTCAAAGGAGCCAGTCTTTTGAACGGCTCTTTGAGATTAACGACCGATTAATGAACGGCTTCCACGAAAGAGCCATAATTCCCATCACTAATAAAATCATCTAAATCTCTTTATGATTCATGCAAAGTTGGGGTTTCATGAGATTTTTTCTAACTGCCGTGGAACACATTAAGCATTGACCTTTTTTAAAAAAAATCAAACTGGACCATTTTATTAATGTTAGCACCCAAACATGGCAGCCAGATAAAAACCACTTAACTTGTCACATGCCCTGTAACCAGTGAGTTTTCCCCCTAAACCATGCATTTCTAAGATCCCATGAAAAGTTGGTATTACCAAGACCCAGGGAAAATATTCTTTAAATTGCAACACCAACATTTTGTTCGGCTTTTGTGATGAAGTCCAGATAAGATTATCTAGTTTCCCTTTCTTGAAAGGTTTCACAAATCAGAAACTTCTTTAGGTACATAATAACCGAGTCCAGACTTGAAGAATCAGTTTGTTTTCGAAGGAGTGGTAAAAAAAATAATTAATGCTCAAGGCGAAACAGGTAAGAGTCCAGCCCCTCGTGCTGCTAGCTGTTAGCATAGCCTGGAAAATGAGAAATAACAGCAGAACGAACAGTCGACACAAAACAGAAGTCACAGCGGGTGTTTGAGCATAGGTTTTCCTGAACGAACCACAGCAGGTCCGACAGGGTCACCTCGCTCATATTTAATCTACTCAGATTCGGAGGTTCCCAGCAGAGAACTCCGGAACGGCAGAGACGGACTCTTCGTGGCAGCCAAGCCGACCACGGCAGGAGACTCAGAGTCTCCCGACACGGCTCTGAGATTGACGGGGTGACATTTCTGGCTTTTTTGTTTAACCGGTACGCCCTCCGAGACCTCCTGTAGTTAGCTGAAAGCCAGAAACAAGAAAACAGCAAACGTGAAGTACAGGAGGTGAGTCGCTGGTTAGGGTTAAAACCACCCCGCGAATTTGTAACGGACGCCTTCAGCTTATATAGGCAGATGGGACGTCACTACGGTGTCCCGTAAAGTTCAAAAGAACAAACATGAGGAAACATGAGCGTAGTGTTTGATACATCTTGCGAAATAAGGCGATGAGGAATGTCACTAAACTTAAAAATTACTGTAAAATTATCAGAACAATCAACTTTTTAGGTATTTTAAAAGCATTGTTTGTAATAATGATATAAAAACAGTTATCAGATAATAATGTCATTATTAGTTAATCAGTTTAAACATGTTAAACCGTTTCTGAGCTGTTCTCTTATTTACTATATTATTTACTAACCTCAACCCATCATACATTTTTGTGAGATGCCTTACAGAATTGTTTCTTTGTTTTTGTTTTGATTTTTATTTCAGAGGGACACTTTATTTTCCTTTGTAATGAAATAAAAGCAGCATTTTTTGCAACTTTCAAACATACTTTTTACATCTGGTTGAGCTTTTGTTATTTCAATTTAACAATTGAAAACACACAGTTCACATTTTTTTATTTTGTGACAAAATTTTAACATGTTTTAATTTTAACATGTTTTCATCACCAAAGTTTATTTTTAAATGTTTATATTTTGTACAGATATGGTACTTTCAAAGGTTTCCCTGAATGCTTTTCCTTTTTTGTAGTCAACACGAATCAGTTTGAAGTTTAGTGAAAGCATTTTTTGTATGACCACAAGACAAGGTTGTTTAAGGACAAAGGCGTCTACGGGTCTTGATCACATAATCAATCTAAATATACCAGCAGACATTCAGCACACTATAAAAATAGCACCATTGCGCAAAAATAAATATTCAACATCAACGAGGAACATGTGGCTTGAAAAAGAGGCAAGCCACCAATTAAAACACCCCGAACCTTTAAAACAAAGCCTACCTACCCCAGTTTGCTTACCGAATATGGTTTCCTTTGATTGTAGGGTTTGACAACTCTTTTCAAAAAGCAGAAAAATGCTTTTGTATTGTTTCTGCCTACTTTCAACAATCTATTGAACTGACGAGGCCACGGCAGACACGTTCATAAAATAATTGAACTCCTCACAAAGATGGCTGTCTGAGCGCTGAACCACAGTCGTAAACATCACTTCCAGGACTTGTAATGAAACTGGCGTTTGTAAGGTTTTGCAAATGCTGTGCTTTCTTTTACTGTAATTGTTTCAGATCAATGGCCTTGGGGTTTTTGGAACGTCGTAGCTCATCTCGTCCAACCCCATGTTGACAAAATAAAATCATGTTCATTTATTTGATTTTTCAAACAGACGTCATGTACGGTGTGGCCTCAGAGCAGCCGTTTGGTACTGAAGATAAAGGTCAGAGATCATCTTCTGGCAGGATAAGCAGGGCAGTTCAGGATGGAGGAGTCACAATCAGCACGCTGCTGGACAACATGACACGCGTGGTGGTGAGCACTACACCACGCTGTTTCTTACAGCAGTGAATGTTGAAGGCACTTGTTATGACTTGGGGCTGTAACCTGATGTGTTTGTTTTAGTTGGAGTTACACAGTGCCTTCTTTTGGAGAGAAACATTTATGCTTCCTCACAAGAATGGAAACAATTGGAAAATGTGATTTATGTCTACATGGCCATGGCGATGACTCAGTTAAAAAAAACACCCTCCTTCTAAATCCTTTGATTTTTTTTTATATTCCACCTGGATGAAGGATTCTAACAAGTACTATACATGGAGAGGTTTCGGCCCAAAGGACTGGCGCGCGCAGGACCTGTGGTTTGACATGACCGATGTCCAGCATGGCCAAGTTCGAGTCCACAACATTTTGTCCAATTCATACCAACAAGCTGTGGTAAGTTTCACACTTAGGTCAACTTCATTTTTTTAATTTGAAATTTATTTATTTTTTAAATACTACTGTTCCCCTGATTTAAAAAAAGGGGGACCGTTTGTTTTAGAAACTGATCAAAATGAAAAAGGAAAAGATTGAGTCATTTAACACATCCTAGTTCTTCTAAACCAGGGGTGTCAAACTCATTTTAGCTCAGGAGCCACATTGAGGGAAATCTAGTCCCAAGTGGGCCGGACCGGTAAATTAAAAACAACTTCAGATTGTTTTCTTTGTTTTAATACAATCAATATAAAACAAAGCTGGAGCCTGAGGACAGTGTATCCAAAATAGTACAAGTACAAAACCTGAAGAGTACTTGAAAATTTTGAGGAAAAAAAAAAATAAAACATTCCTTAGGGATTCAGAGCTTACAGATCACATGGCTAGATCAGTTTCATGCAGCACTTAAAGTATATTTGACTCATTTTACTTTACATCTTTTAGCTTTCACCAGCACATCGATATCAGAAGTCACATCCTGAGTGGCGGCCAACTTCAGGATGTGATTCAAGTTCTTATGTGAGCCTTGAGCGCAGCTTTGTTTTATTTATACTCATTACAGAGAAAACTTGCTCACAAAGATATGTTTATTTTCACTCTACATTGTAAAGTATGAAAATAAAGTTTACACAACCATCTCGCGGGCTGGATTTAACCTGTTTGCGGGCCCCTGTTCTAAAGATACATATCTGGTCACCTTTTCTGGTGTTGTTAGCAAACTTTTGCGTCCCCATTTCCTTCAGGAGACTGGCTACAATCTACACTTAGATTTGTCTTCATGAAAATAATGAATAAATATAGGACCGTGTGCAAAAACACCTCTACCTTTAAAGGGGGCACCCAGACTTGAACTGCAGTCAACTCTACCACTGAGCTATATATACCCCCAATGGATAAAGCCCATAAAAATAAATGTTAGAAAGAATTATTGTTGGGATAACTTTTTACTTAGATACGTTAAATTATTGCTCTGCATACAGTTTTACTGTACTTATAATGATACATGAAACTTTATTCGTAAGTTAAGCCTAAGATTAATAAACATGTGACCTGAACCACAGAGTAGTTCCTGATTAAATAAAGAATAAATAAATAAAATAAAATAATCTTAGAAGGTGTGTTGCCAGATGACCCGGGAGCCTCCTGATCTTCTGTCTAAGGCACCACCACTGAGCTGTACACCCACATGTTCACCATGCCAGAGACAGGGCATCAGCATCCTTCCTTCAGTTTCTTTGAGACGTCAAAAACCGTTTTTGCAGCTCGTTGAAGATCATTTTTACATCAAGATGCATGTTCAGTATACCAACTATGTAGTTAGTTTTACTGATTTGTGAGCTACATTGTTTTCCTTGCAAAATGATGATAATGAAAAAGACATTTCCACTTCTATAAGCTCCTCTAGACGTGTTGTTGTTTAGATACTGAAAAAACGACCTCGGCTGTAATTTGTAACTTTGTTTCACGAAATGAAATTTGTTCCTCAGCGTCTCTTTCTCAGACAGTCACTTCTCTTTCTACAGAGGGTTGCGTTGTCCTTTGACTTTCCTTTTTATGGAGATTACCTGAGGCAGATCGTCATAGCAACAGGAGGTAGGCTTTGATTACCCAACAGCTGCTCGAGTCACCTTTCCTGCTCATGTTCGTGGAGCAAATGTGTATTTGCTGTGCAACAAGGCACGCTTATGACTTACACGTCCTCCCGTCTGCTGATTACCAGGATTCATCTTCACGGGGGACGTGACTCACCGAATGCTGACCATCACACAGTACATCGCCCCTCTGATGGCTGATTTTGACCCCAGCCTCTCCAAACAATCCACTGTGCAGTACCTGGATAATGGTATGATACCTGACGTTTTACCACTTCGCTGTCACTGACATGTCTGACTATATGTTCTGCTTATACCTGATTTTAGGAGAAGTCTTTGTGGTCCAGTGGGAGCAGGTCAGACTTCCTGGCAAAGAGTCAAAGGGTGCTTTTACATTTCAGGCTGCGCTGCATAAAACAGGAAGAATCACATTCAGCTACCAAGAAGTGAGGCAGATCATCATTTTCTGTTTTCAGGAACTATCATTTCTAGTCACACCATTCCTAATTTTTATTTCTGCACAACAAAACACAAGTCTTCTATTTCCCAGATACCTCTGCCTCTAGACGCGATCGGGTCAGCTGAACATCCTGTGAAGGTCGGCTTGTCAGACGCCTTCATGATTGCGTCGTCTTCTCCTCGGTCACCAGGTTCCTGATAATGACGATCACCTTTGTGATCCATCTGATGACCTAAACACACTGCTCACAAGAATTAAAGGAACACTTTTTTTAATTGGGCCTGGCCTGAAATCAATTAAACCTGTCTGATAATTTCCTGGTTGATTAAGCAGCCGAGGGCATTGTTGATCACTGTCAGCTGTATTGGTGTTCGTGGACTTAACGACAGGTGCACTAAAGTGGCAACAATTACAAAACCCTCAAAACAGGACTGAGTTTAACGTGTAGAGGTCATTTCAAGTTTCTCCCTCTTGATCTTTGTCGGCTGGTTTTCCACTCGTGCTAGTTTTGGCTCTCTACTGGCAGTATGAGGCGACTCCTCAATCCTACAGAAGTAGTGGGCCCTGTGCTCACTGCCCAGCACCGTAGAGCTCGACTGGCATTTGCTCAAGAACACCAGAACTGGCAAGTCCGCCACTGGCGCCCTGTACTTTTTACAGACGAGAGCAGGTTCACCCTGAGCACCTGTGATAGACGTGAACGAGTCTGGAGAAGACGAGGAGAACGTTATGCTGCCTGCAACGTCGTTCAACATGACAGGTTTGGTGGTGGGTCAGTGATGGTCTGGGCAGGCATATCCATGGAAGGACGCACAGACCTCTACTGCCTAGAAATGGTGCTCTGACTGCCATAAGGTACCGAGATGAAATCCTTGAACCCTTTGTCAGACCCTACACTGATGCAGTAGGTCCTGGTTTTCTCCTAATGCACGACAAAGCCCGGCCTCATGTGGCAAGAGTATGCAGGCAGTACCTGGAGGATGAAGGAATTGAAACAATTGCATGGCCTCCATGATACCCTGACTTAAACCCAACAGAACATCTGTGGGACATTATGTTTCGGTCCATTAGGTGGCACCAGGTTGCTCCTCAGACTGTACAAGAGCTCAGGGATGCCCTCACACAGATCTGGGAGGAAATGTCACAAGACACCATCCGTCGTCTCATTAGGAGCATGCCCCGACGTTGTCAAGCATGCACACAAGCTCGTGGGGGGCACACAAGATCCTGAAACACAATCTGAGTTGCAGAAATGAAGTTTTTGAAATAATGGACTAGCCTGCCACTTCTTCATTTCACTCCGATTTTAGGGTGTCTACACAATTGAGCCCTCTGTAGGCTGATAACTTTTATTTCCATTAAAAGACTTGGCATCCTTTTGTTCCTAAGACATTGCCCTGTCGTTATTTGTACAGATATCCAACTTCATATTGAGATCTAATGTGTTTCCTTAAAGCGTTCCTTTAATTTTTGTGAGCAGTGTAGCTTCAACCAATATTCTGCATCAATCTCATGGGTTTTTTTCCGATTAGAGGCAGCTCAGAGGACAATCTATGAATACCATCGAATTGAGGTAGACATGAAAAGGATCAGCAGTAAGTCTGCTATAGAGCTGACACCACTGCCCAGTAAGTTAAAACACGGTGTTAAAGGTCACTTGTTTAACGCGCTGATGTCAGCCCTAAAACGGGAAATGGTTCATCTGCCTTCCTCTCTTCAGCCTGCCTGCAACACGACAGCTGTGAGCTCTGCCTCTCCTCCAACCTCACCTCTGGTTGCACCTGGTGCAACGTTCTCCAGAGGTGAGAGGAAACCCACTCTGCAACAGGGTGCCGTCCCATCTCATTTCTTTTATTTATTTATTTATTTTTTTACTTGTGTTTTCAGGTGTTCTGATGGAGTGGACCGACACAGGCAGGAATGGCTGGATTATTCCTGCTCGGAGGAGGTACCACTAACGCAGGGTCGTTCTGCTCACTTTTCTGTTTTGTTGCGTGAGGTCATGATTTGTTGTGCTGTTTATGAACAGAGCAAAGATGCAACCTGTGAGGATTACTACAGGGGCGATGACTTCACTGGTTCCTCTGTTGCACCAGAGGCAGAAGACGCGACGTCTGGCTGGGAAGGCTGGGAACGTGGTGGTGAGGACAGAGGTGATAAATGTTCCAAAGGGATACCCATAAAACTATGATAAGTAACACTAAGCAGGACTGCATGATAGCGCAGTTACCTTGCAGCAAGAAGGTCTCAGGTTCTCATCCTGCATGGAGTTAGCATGTTCTCCTCATGCTTGTGTGTTATCTCCTCCCACAGACCAAAATCATTATGTGTCCCACTGATTAAAGAGTGTGTGACTGGTGGTTTGTCTCTGTGTAGAATGTTCAATGGCCACACACACACACACACACACACACACACACACACACACACACACACATTCACATGCTGGTGGTGATGAATTACACCCGGACAGAGGAGAGCACTGGTTCCACCGGCCCATCCGACCACCACCAGGAAAGGAGGGTGAAGTGTCTTTAGGACACAACTGCGACAGACTGAGTGGGGCTTGAACCTCCAACCCTCCACTTACAGGGCAGGTGCTTACTCCTCTGCCACTGTCACCCAGTGCCTCGGTGTGCCCCTGTGATGGACAAGAAACCTGTCTAAGGTGTTTACTATACCTCTCAGCTAATGACTAGAGTTATGCGCCAGCTCCCCACATGTATCCCTTGAATACGTGGTTAAATTGGTCCCGCACACCCTGCAGACATCTCTCAGATATTTGACCATGACCCAGTTGAACTTGTTTGAGTCATTTTCTACAAGAAAACCTTGATTTTTGCCCTTTTTTTTCCCCCTCATCTGTGGAATTTTCTATCCGACCTTTGGAAATAGGCCCAACGAGCCTCCTTCTCAATAGAAATCGGGTGGGAATAAACGCAGAGCAGCTATTTTTGAAACTCAATTTGAAACTTCAGTGAGTAAAGATATAAAACTGGAAATGAAGCAAGAGCATTTCCAGCAGTTGACAAAGAAAATCAGACCCCTTCCTTGTTATTTATTTTATAATAATAACAATAATAATGCATTGAACTTATATATCGCTTTTCTAGACACCCAAAGACGCTTTCACACACTCTCACATTCACACACTGCTAGTGATGGTAAGCTACTTGTAGCCACAGCCGCCCTGGGGAGGTCTGACAGAGGCGAGGCTGCCATTTGGCGCCGTCGGCCCCTCTGACCACCACTAACACAGGCAAGTTGGGTGAAGTGTCTTGCCCAAGGACACAACAGCAGGATATCCCTGGCGGGAGCTGGAATCAAACCCCTGACCCTCCAATCATGAGGCAACCCGCTCTACCACCTGAGCTACTGCTGCCCCAAATTTTTGACCATCTAATGTATATAATTAATTCAGGCAAGCTGAAATCTCACTTGTGTTTCAGATGACACTAAACGTCGCACAGTCAAGCACGGCAGTGGTGAGTCTTGCTTGTTTAAACCATTTTCTGCAGTTTTACTTTTTTTTTTTACATTTGATTTAAAATCTTGGGTTTTAATTTGCTGCAGATGTGAAATCAGGGTCTTCAGTCAAGAATAAAGGATGGTCTAACACGGCAGTGATCTCTGGTGTCGCTGCTGCTCTGGTGTTCCTGGCTCTGATCCTTGCAGCTCTTTGTGTCCACTGTCATCCCACTGCAGGACCACTTCACCTCATCCACGTGAGCTCCAAATATCACCAACGGTCAGGGTTTAAGGCTCACTTAGAATATATCATTTAATTTATGACTTTGTGTTTCCCACTGGCTTTCCCTGTAGTTTCAGAAGCAGCAGCCTGGTTACACAGAGGTGGAAGGAGAAGGTCACGACAAATACAGCATTGTTGAAGCCGGGTCTTGCTGAAGAAAGGAAACTCAGAAGAGCAACAGATGTTTATCCAAGTGTATAATATGTGACAGGAATAAGATTATAGTTGTACATTAATAACGGTTTTAGAGACCATTCCAAAAAGATATAGTTTGTTGGAAAAGTTTGGATACTGAGTACGTGGGCGTTTTATGACAGAAATGGACAACTCTGTGTTCAACATTTGTTATTTTTCTGCTGACAGTCCTACAAAAATGCACGGTGTGTCCTTTTGCTACATAAAGACATCAAATTCTGGTTTCTCTTGCTTGTTGAAATAACTAGAAGAAAGCACAGCAATAATAAAACACTTAATAATGAAAACATTAAATTACAATTAGATGAAAAACAAAATTCTTCAAGTTCACAAAACACATATAAAAGCTTTAAAATTGGTGAAATTTCACTAAAAATATAATGGCAACAGTGAAAATGACAGAAACATTGAGATTTATTTTAAGTTGTAGTTTTGCCTTAAATATTTTTCCCAGTGTTGTGATGTATTCTGTTCAAAAAGGCTTCCAAGTTGCAAAATACTTGTTTTCAGTTTTGAAAATTATTGGTGACACTTTGAAATAAGGGTCCCTTTATTAACGTTAAGCATTAATAAATATTAAATAGATTATTAACAACTGCGTAATGTTTATGCATTACTAAGCCCAGTCATTCTCCTGACCTGGAACCTGGAGCCGCACTGCTAACTGTCTTTATGCCAGTTTGCTAACATCTGTGTTTACAGAAGCAGGTGTCTGTAGAGCTGACTCGCACCTTTCAGTGGAAGCATACAGCTGTGCTTTGTCATGCAGTAGTCCCAAGTCTAAAATGGTGGCTGTGATCCCTATTACAAGTTAATTTCATTTGCGCTCAGCAGGAATGGGATTACCACAGATCACAGCATGCCCTATAGCAGTGGTTCCCAACCTTTTTCCCAAGGGACCCCGTTTTTTACCAGTAAAATTTTTGACGACCCCCTCCCATTCTCTCTTCCAGTACAAACAGTATTAAGAAATGATAAAATTGTTCAAGCACATTTTAATATGCTTTGATTCAATAGATAACAGTAATAGTAGCCTCCAGTACAGAACAAAGTCATTAAAAAACCAAACAGAGCATACTGTGCTTGACAGTTTGTATTACTTTTCTGAACACATTGTTTCTTGTAAACACTGATAAATCAATCATTCCTTTCAATAAACGTTTGACACATTAAAAAATACACTGAGCAAAATGTACTTAAATGTGTATATTACTGTTTATACTAGATTATTTAGTGTAAAGGCTGTGATTAATCAACCAGTCCTATCTTTAATGAACTTTTGACACTTGAAAATAAAACAGTGAGCTGAGAAAAATGTTCTTAAAAGTGTGTTACTTTTTCTGTACTAATTATTTCCTGTCTTAATATCAGTAAACGTTTCACTCATGAAAAAAAGTGAGCAAAATGTAGGCTATAAACAAGTAATAAATGAAGTTTTAACCCCTTAAAGTGGAGAGGTCCTGGCGACCCACTGAGAGGCTTTAGCGCCCCCTTGTGGGGATCGGGACCCCCAGGTTAGGAACCACTGCCCTATAGGTTATAAATAGTAAGTCGCTTTGGATAAAAGCGTCTGACAAATAAATAAATATAAACATGAATATAAAACATATGTACGTTTTACTCACAATGCTAGTTGGATCCATTCACTTATTGTGTTTTATGCTAAGCTAAAGCTAAAGGGGTACAGCTGGGTCAGGAGAATGACTGGGCTGGTTAAAAATGTTTTTAACCACTTATCTAATGCTGGGAAAAGTGCCAACAGGCAAAATTTCAATTCTGGGTAAAATATACCTTAAAGGACACTTAATAGTTAACAATATTGGGGATGTTATTAAAGGGATCATTTGTTTTATTAATACTTAATAATGCAATAAGTCAGATGAATAAAGGGTCTCTTTTTGTGTTACCAAACTATTTTGTGAAATGTCTTTTTGAAACGTTTGACTTACTAATGATGTACTTTTGTACTGCTATTATGACTCTATATAAGACAAAGTTTATTTAATTTAGTTCTGCTGGTTGAAGTTTTGTTTACCCATGTTTTATAGCTAACACCCACCAGCAGGCGTCACCCTGACCAAATGTATCACATGAATATCAAGTAGGACATGCCAAGTGAACGTGGCAGATGTGTAAAAATGTGATTTGGGAGCATTGAATTGGTAAAGGCCCAAAAACCAGCTAGATGATCGCATGAGTTTGCTATGCAAGCACAGATGGAGCTTGGACAGACACACTTGACGTGCACGGGGCTTGGTTTTCACACAGCGGAGATGAGGTTGTTCCACTTTCACACGCATTAACTCTGTTAATCATTTACATTCCATATGTGTCCCATTTGCTCTTTCCAGATAATGGCGTAAATATTACAAGGTATTTTTGTTCACAGTGTGCTCGGGCACGCGCATTGGAGGGAGGGTAACTGGAGCGCGCTTTCCGTGTCTGGTTAGTGGACTGACAGCCAGCTGTGCGGCTGCAACAACAATCTCCTTAGCTACACTCAACTTAGGTCGATTTTTTTGGGGGGTCGCTGATCATAATCGTGGACTTGCAGCTTTTTCTGAAGTGAATACTCGACAGCACGCCGCTACAACCACCTGAGCTTTCCGTGCGAACTAGCTAGAAGAGCATTCCTCCAACATGAATCCGTTGTGTGGCAGATGTAATCAAGTCGTTTACCCCACGGAAAAAGTGAATTGTCTGGACAAGGTAAGAGGACAAAGTCTTCTATATGATTTAATTCAGAAAATAACCCGAACAGGCGTTTAGTAATACGTGCCGTACGCGAGCCTGTCCTTTGCCCAGGTTTAAAACCAAAGCCGTTCACACATTTTGGTGAATGAATCGAGCACAGCCCAACAGAACAGGTATTTCGACGTTAGCACGCTAGCGGCTAGCCAACGTCTGAAAACGCAAAGGCACGAGAACGTAGTCAGAAAACGTAAATGTGCCGAATGTTAACGTAGTTTCCACTTGGCAAAAATAAACGTGGTTGTGTTTAGTTTCGACTCGGTCCGGACTGAGGTGTCAGTTCACCCTAAAGCGACGCTTCAAATCGCCTCAGACGGCCGAGCCTGGTCTGGGCCTGACAGGTGTTGTGCTGAAAAAAAGAACCCCGTCACATAGGAAGCACGTTCAAGGCAAACTGTTCACGAGTGGATGTGGAAAACGGTCATCTGGGCTTTAATACCCCTAGAAATACGATTAATTGCAATTATTTAGTTATGTTTTACGTTGTTTTTTATGGAATACCAAAGATAAATACATTTGTTTTCGTTTAACTTCATGACTAAAAGTTTTAAAGGTGTAGTTATGGTTGACGATATGTGTAGTTTGAATTTCTTATCTTTTGAGAAATAATAAATGGTACACAATCCGTTTTATCTTGCATTTTAAAGCACCCAGTAAAGATAATAGTACAACTGACAGCAAATCCGGATGTCACTGGTGTCGAGGAACTTAATCGGCACTTCCCATGACAGGGGTGCCTTTTTCGGTGCAACACTTGTGCGTCTCACATTAACTGGCTAATCCCAGCCAGGAATGATGAGTTGAGCTGGCTAGTGCACTTTTATCCAAAAGCACAGGGCTAATCTCAGTCCAGGTGGTAATCTCATTAATTTTATAGGCTGTCGAGGTCAGAAACTCGCATGGGAGTCGCAGCTGAAGAAAAGGAAACGTTCCTGTTGCGAGCCTTGTTCCCGTTTCAGATCAAACTGAGAAACACAGATTAGTTTAAATCGCATTTGGTTTGAATTGCACAACAATTCACAGATGAAATAAGATAAAGCCACACACAATATAACTAATGCACTTTCCTGGGTGTGGTCTGTCTGCTTGGCATTTAAATAGTAGTAGCTGTTTATCTGTTATTTTTAAACATAATAATAGCTTTGGGCAAGTAGATAATTGGTTTAATGGACGTCCCAAAGACTACTGAAAGTCAATCCTTGTTGAGATGTGCTTATCTGTCAGGCTGGACAGACGAGAAAGTTGGAGAAAGAGCTCACAAAGCACTTTATCTAAAGTGCCATCAGCTCCTGGCTGGATGCAGTGCTCTTTTACTGCATGGACATGAAGAATATCTTTCCATTGTGCTCTGAAGTGACATTGATTTAACTCAGATCCCCTCTTCACAGACTAACAGCCCAATAATATGAAGCAGATTGGGCCACTTATTGGGAGTAATGCTAGAGTACTGATAAAAAATCAAATTGCCACAAGTGCATCCTGAACGTGCTCAGTAATGTGCCCCGAAGCAGGCTGCATTCCATCAGACTGACACTCCCATGAAACATGCTCTGTTCGAGGCCTGCTGTGTTGACTCCTCCTGAACGAAGCAAAGCAGCATACGCCGTGGTGTGTCATTGCATGCTGCCACTCTAAATCATCGCTCACCTTACACACACACACACACACACACACACACACACACACACACACACACACACACACACACACACACACACACACACACACACACACACACACACACACACACACACACACACACACACCAAAACATCTCTCTCCTTGTATGGCACCTATGTTGTATTTTTAATCAGGCTGTTGCATGTTTTAGTGTGCTTATGCTAGCTCAGGTGAATGCAGAGTAGATGAGCAGCTGTGAGTTCTGCGGCCTTTCCGATAGTCACCTGACTGTTTTCTTCTGTCATGTCAGAAAAGGCTGAAGGCTACAGGCTTGTTTGTGTGTGTGCTGCATTCCAGTACATGTAACAGGGCTGGGCCCAGCAGAAGGAGTGGGTCGCTGAGCACACATGAAGACAGGAAGTGAATTTTCGCTGATGCTTTTCTTAGTAACTGTTTCTTTCGACTTTAGTTTCAGATCGGGCTTTAAAAGGAACCCAGGTTACAAAACTTTGTGGTTCTTAAAAGATAAATGTTAGTATCAGTCATATTAAAGTTGTGTAAAAAACCTTCTTAATGTCTTCATTTTTATAAAATTTGTAAAAAATACCGTAAGTCCTCTAATACAGGCCCGGGCCTGTATTTGACTCAAGCTCATCAAGCTCCAGGCCTTTTTTGGAAGGAGGACCAGAAATAGAGGCAGGCCTCTATTTCTATTTGAGCAAAATGAACTAATGGTTCGCTGGAATTTTTGACAATTAAAATTGAGCCCACATTTTCAAAGTTAAACACATTTCTTTTAACAACGGTAGTTTCTGCTTCAGCCCTCTCCCCCCTCCCCCTGCGCAGCGGCCGCAAACTCACTGATGCGCCTGCAGCCTCTCGGAGTTCCTGCTGCTCTAAACATTAAAATAATTATTTGATTTTCTGTTCCTCACTTCTGATTACCTTCAATGGTGTCTGTTTGTTGCAACCACCAGGTACAAAAACTAACTTGTTTTTATTTGACTATTTTTCTGTCCTGTATCTGTTTATTATCTTCCTGCATCTCCTCTCAATCCTAAAGAAAAACTGCTACCTGGGTTCATATATATTCACCTTATGAGTTACCTTTGAACTGCAGTTCTAAAAGATCTACCGACCGCAAAAACAGCAGAGTGCTCGCCGGCCACATGTGCGTTAGGTGCGTCACCGAGGACAAAACAGGTGATGCGCCCCGATCCGCAGCAGCGAAATGCATCAGGCACAAATAAAAGACTAAAAGACAGAAAACATAAAAGGAAATGAGCCGACATGAACGATCGCGTGTTAAATTAGTTTTTGAGGTGGCGACACCTGATTTGATAATGTTACTGTGGCCGTGCTCAGGACGCAGATGTCTGGACCGCGTCAACAATCAGAGCATTGCATGCGCAAGCTGCTTATGGTTAGGATGGGGGTGAGGGGAGGGTTAAATTGCAAGAGTGTAAACGTCACAATTTGGTTAAATGTCAGTTTTACGGTGGGTGTCAGTACCGACGCTCTGGCACAGCGCGTTGCCTCCCGACGCGCAGGAGCTTGTCACCTGCTGACAGCAGGCTGCTGTCTTTTCCGTGGACTGCATCTTGCCGGTCATTATCACGTGACAGCGACTAGTCGATGACAGGCATAAAAAGTCACTATAGAGCGGTGAATTCGACTAGTGACTAGTTCATACAACCCCTGCTACTGCTCCCCAGAGTGTTCTGCAGCATAATCAGCACGTTCTCTTTGAACTTGATATCAAATTTTCGCCTCCTCTTAGTCTCCACACCTGCCACGGTTAAAGTTACCCTCGCGGTCTATCACTGGCAAATCAAAAGTGAGACGGATGACACAACCGCCCCCCGTACTTGCTTGTTACCACATTCCACCCGGCCACAATAAAAAACCGACCATTATTCACCTCCGCCGACTCCGACCAAAATATGATACCCGGCAGTTAATTAAATACAGGCTACTATTAGAGGATTTACGGTAGTTTAACTCATAGGTCGCCGTTGTAGTTAGCGTCGCAATGCACTCTGGGTAGTGACGTCATCTGGTTGTACCTCGGTTTCACCAGCTGGCTTTGGGACCATGTAGTGATTGTTCGGCGACATCAACATGTCATCTGTTCAGCCTTTTCGGTTTGAACCAGAGTGAAACATTAATGATGACATCACTGACCATGTTTCACAAAACGAGCTTCAACATGAAGAGCAAGAAGGGCGGGATGAAGCGAGTGCAGGACAAAACCGGTGGTGGGTGTGCGGCAAATGTGTCTCCATGGTAACCGAGAGGGAGAGTGTTTGTTGTCAAGAGCTCACATTTTTTGTCAGCAGAAGTTAACGGTAAGCTATTGTGCGATTGAACTTATTCATTTACCAATGATTTGGGAGAATTTTAGCATCCAGAGCTGTCGTGTGCTTTAAAAATTATTAGGATATTCAGTGAAACGACTTGAATTAATTTTGCGGATATTATATATTTGGAGAACACTGTGTTGCTACACTTACTGCTTGTTTTACTGACGGGAGAGGTGAATGTTCAGCTTCATCCGTGACGAGTGGCGTGTCCGATGGTTGGCTCAACGTGACGGAAGCGGCAGCTGCAGGAGCGGGTTGTCGGCTCAGGAGAGCGTCCAGCATCTCTTGTCTCTCCGAGGGCGTTTAGGCTCCTTGTGTGGGAAAATGGTCGCTAAAGCTTTTAGTTTCTGCCTTCTCTTATACCCAGCCGCTCTGGTGAGCTCTTTAAGTAGTTGTGGTCGACTATAAGCCTCAAACGCATCAGGAGAAAAATGTTGGGAACACAGCCGCGGATCATTGGGAAGTTGTCTGTCCACAGGCATCTTCCCATTGCTTTCTCCTCTTCTTGCCAGTGGGAAAGTTGTGTAAACTCCCATCACTCCCCTTGTTGCCCCCATGACTGGAAATTACATCCAAAAGCAGCACAATGCAGCATTTTACTTCATTATTAATACGGTGAGCGCGTAAACAAACACTAGCGTCAATAGCTACTCTTCCTAGAGCAACCAATATACGTCATCGCCCCCAGAGTGCGTTGCGTGTGGAAAACATGACGTCCTACGTAAGTCCAAAAATGTACTAAATATCATAGATTTATAAATAAACAGCAATATTTTGTGTGTTTCTAACAACATAGTTTGGTACAACAGAAAACTTGTGGCTTATTAGGGCATACACGTCCTCATAGCCAGAGTTCCTTTTAAAGGGGTGGAACACTGGAAAAAAAAACATTTTTTAATGATTATTTCTGATTATAATCGGTCACTGAGTTTTTCATGCAGACTGAACATGAAAATCAGGTTGTGTCTCCTACAC